TAAGGTCCTGGAGCCTACTGAAATGCAAGCAAATACTTGAGTAGGCTGAGGGATGCATAAAGCAAATAAAATAATTAAGTAGGGAATGGTTTGCAACACTCCCTCCCAGATTTGTAATGACAAAAGTGACTTCCACAAGTCACAGAAAACTCTGCCAAGTTCTGAAAGGTGTACATCATTGAGATATCTTAATTAAAAACACACAGTGGTATAGCACTGCATGTTACAAAACAGCAATATGGCAGACCCCATGATGACCAAAGATCACAAACTTCAGTGAGGAAAGATACAAATATAATGCTTTAAGTGCTAAAGAGTCCTTTTCTTCACAAAAGAATCCTGCAAAGGCTCTGTGGTCAAGCCACTGTTTTGTTCACTTGCCTAGCAACCCTCCAGAGTCAGAGGAGGGACACCAAATGATGTAGTTTCCAAAAATGCTGAAACTTTCCCATATTTTCATGAGATTTTATAAGCTCAAGCCTTAGCCCAAACCAGATCCCTGTTTTTTAAAACTTTTTTTAAAAACAGTTCTGATGAATGCTACTGCCAAACAAAGAAAGTCTGTTACTGTTTCTCATGTAATCAGTCAAGAGACCCACTGTCAATTACCTGATAGTGTGGAGCTGCTGATTGTACTTGCTGGAGTGGTTACTTCAGGTTCATCTTGCACTATTTCATCGTTCACAAATGCAGACTTTTCCTGGTCCTCCCGGGGTCCCACTGAGCTGGTGGAATCATCCTGTACTCTCTCAGCTGATATAGACAACTTTGGAAGCAGACCTGAACTGCATTGCTGCCGGCTACTCTCAGTCTCAGACGAGATGGATGTAGATATTTGTTGTCTGCATTAAAAACAAGTGAACTCTCATGCAGTTACTGAGATGAGGAGGCCTGCTACCTGGCAAGCAGGATGTAGACCCATTCCAGCACCTCCTCCTACTTACATTTCAGAATATTCTGAACTCCAGCTTAAAGATTCCACAGAGGGCAATGTTACATTTTTTGTTTTGTCTCCTGCATCTTCCTTATCTTCACCTTGTGTTTGAGTGACTCGATCTATACTACTAAAAACCTATTACAGACAAAAAAACCCCCAAAATCAATTAATCACTGACATAAATTTGATACAAAAAAAGATATGCAGGATCTATGATTCCATGATTTTAAATGCTTATACAGTATTTCAGAGTGCAGAGTTCAAGCTTCTTCAACCTCTTCAAATTTCCAGGAGTTTATGTTCTTAAAATGCCTTCCTATTTTGCTTTCTTGGCTCCTCACGTATGAATACACAAATACAGCCTGTTCTCATGAATTAATCAGTTTGCTCCTCATTTCACAGTGTGAACCAAAACAATACAAACAAAATCCACAGCCTTGGCCATTCTCAGTCACAGGATTAATGCACATTAATTCACAACCGTAAAGCCAAGCAGGATCAAAAAGCCCTAATGCCCAAGCAACTGTCTTAGTATCTACCAGTCAGGTGGGAAAAGCAGAAAAAACAATCCGAATGTACTTGAATTTAAGAATAAATACATGCTTTATTAAAATGAACTATGATCACTGGAAGTCTGTTATTTGCTTAGCTGAGAAACAGCACACAGTCTGAGAGATACATGTAGAGGTGCAATGACATAATATTAACCAATCAAACAATTACTGTGTAACAGAGCCTTCAGAAGGACAGAAGTTCCCAGAACCACAGAACAAGGTTGGAAGGGACCTCTGTAAGTCATGTTGTCCAACCCCTCTGCACAAGCAGGGTCACCTACACCTGGTTGCTAAGGAACACGTTAAGAAGCTTTTGAAGATCTCCAAGGACGGAGACTCCACCGAGTAAAGAAATGTTTCTTCGTCTTCAGACAGAACTTCCAGTCTCTCAATCTGTGTCCATTGCCTCTCATCTAAGAGAGGTGTCTCCAAAGAGACAAAATCATTTTCCAGTATCTGAATTTGAAACGTACTACCAAGTCAATTTATGGAGTTTACACAGAATGAACATAACCACAATTCCTATCTCTGCTCTTCCATGCTATCACAGACAGAACACAGTCAGCATAAAATCCACCGATTTATTAAAGCATAACCCAAGACAAATAAGATACAAATACAGACACTCCAAATACCTTTAAACATCTCCTAAAATAGATTAAAGAAACTTTTGAAATAGTAGGCTTTTGAAAATCACTGCTGGATGCTATGTTAAGATTAAAAGTTCACTCATTAGGTATTCCACTTCCATTATTTCCTGTCAATCTATTCTTCACTGTATTTCCTGAGCATGTTCCCTCTGCTACTGCTAGTGTGCTCTGACCAGCAACAAGTAGCTCTCATCTCTACTGCAGTTTTATCTTCAATTCAGAGCACTCAAATCACTCCCTCAAATCCACAATTCTCCTTGACCAAAACACATGCCAACCACCCCCTTGCTTTTCTCCTTCAGTCTAATGTCATTAAATTAATAGCTACTATAGGGTAACACTGTAATCTTTGTTATGCTAGCATCTGCAAGATACCCGGAACACAACTGGAGCAACATGAAAACTATGTACAGGAAAACCAATGTAAAGAACATGTATTAGCATTTAACAGAACGCTTCCCCTAAATTTTCTGTTAAGCCATCATGAATTTTCTACAAAAAATACTATCATATTTATATAATTTTTCATTAGTATCTTAAAGATTCAAGAATTAACTTTCTTACAGAATCTTCCCATGTTTTGATTTACTGTTACTCATTGTATTCTTGCCCAATTTCAGTTAACTTCACTGTTTCTCGAAAAACAATGCCCTATTCACCTCTTGTATATTTATAATTTCCAAACTCTGTGAAAGCTGAAAAATGTTTATGTACACAATACATACTAAGATTACAGAATTTTTACTTACTTTTGAAAATCTGTGTGAACATGAGGAAAACTGTCTTATCTCCAAATTAAAATCTTCATCATTGGTATCATCTTCTTCTTCTGTTTCCATATGATGATATTTCTCAGAACGAGCTACAGACAAGGGAAATAAAATATCTGAATTTATCAGGAAGAATAGATACCAGGCTTAAATATTACATCAGTCTAATTTTATTCTTAAGATTATTTCTGCTGAAATGTCAATCCACCAGTGAAACTGCAAGTTGCCAGTGATTCTGATAAAGGGGCTTTTAAAAGCAGTAATCAAGAGTCTATAAAGATAGCGATTATGTAAACATGGCATTCATAACTTTTTTTAATACCGTGAAACACCTACTGTCAAAATAACTTGTGTCATCTTCAGACTCCAACTGTGGAATAAATTCTGCCTTCTGCCTCAGCAAACTATTCCAGTCAAGGCTCCTGAAGAACTGATGCTGCTTTACTTCATATGCACCACCTGGGGGAACCAGAGAAAAACACTGAGCAACCCATATCAAATCCTCTGACATTAACTGAACTAAACCCCTGGCCAATAACGCAAATAATCATGGAAACGCATTGTCATCGCTGTATGCATGAACATCCACTACCCATCTCCATTTGAATACCCTAAACCTGTCTGAGATCCTCCCGGTCCCTGTTTTGTTGTGGCTGTTTCTTTAACAGTGGTGGCACTGTTTTATCATTTCCCCCCTTCTAACATTTTCATTTTTTCTGGATATTTCTGGCAACTACACATTAGTCAGAATCATCAAACGTAGTAGTAGCTATAAAAATAAAAATATGTGCACTAGGTTAGTAAGCACAAGTTATAAAATAATGCAGAATTATTCTTAATAGTTGCTCAATATAAATATTAATGCTGACCTAGAGACCCTTTTAGTGTTTTATGGCAGTAATACACAATTCTATAGGAAGTATCTTATCATTTATCTTCTCATTGATTACTGCCTGCTTGTTGTAATGTGTGTTAAACAATTACACTAGTTTTAAGTTAAAAAACAATTATAAGAACACAATGGAATACTGGAAATTTTGTCCTGGGAAGATGGGAAATGATGTCATTAATAACCATACATCTAATTCTAAAAACTGAACAAATAACCTGCAGCAGCAAAACCTGCTGCCAGCTTGAATGTATTTGGTTTACGCGTATTTGGTTTATGGTTTTGGTAGTGGGGGGGCTGCAGAGGTGGCTTCTGTGAGAAGCTACCAGAATGTTCCTCTACATCCAACAGAGCCAATGCCGGCAAGCTCCAAGATTGACCCACCACCACCCAATCAGCATTATCTGGGATAATGTATTTAAGAAGGGAAAGGCTGCTACACAACAGCAGCCAGAAGAGAGGAGTGAGAACAGGCGAGATGAACAACCCTGCAGACATCAAGGACAGGGCACAAGGAAGGGCAGGAGATGCTTCAGGTGCTGGAGTACAGATTCCTCTGCAGCCCGTGGTGAAGACCACGGTAAGGCAGCTGTGCCCCTGCAGCCCATGGAGGACCCCACACCAGAGCAGGTGGATGCCCAAAGGAGACTGTGATCCCATGCAAAAGCCCTTGCTGGAGCAGGCTCCTGGTCAGTACCTGTGGCCCTGTGGAGCTCACACTGGAGTAAGTTTGCTGGCAGGGTTTGTGACCCCATGGGGAATCCATGTTGAAGCAGTCTTTTCCTGAAGGACTGCACCCCACACTGGAGCACAGGGAAAGCATGACAAGGAAGGAGCAGCAGAGAGAGCAACCCCCATTTCCTGTCTCTTGCACTGCTCAGAGGGAGAAGTATAGCACTCAGAGGAGTGAAGGTGTGCCTGGGTAGAAGTGAGGGGTGAAGGGAAGGTGTTTTTAGATTTGTTCCTATTGTTCATTATCCTACTCCATTGTTAATTGGCAATAAATTAACTTCCCTGAGTTGAGTCAGCTTTGCTCATGACAGTAACTCCCTTTCCTTATCTCAACCCATAAGCCTTCGCATATTTTCTCCTCCCATCAAGCTGAGGAGGACAGGGACAGAGCAGCTTAGTGGGTACCTGGTGGGCAGCCAGGGTCAACCCAGCACATTGATACAGCTCATGTACTTCTGAATATCAAGCAAGGAGGGAGCCATAGAAAAAATGTAAAACCTCCAGGATTGGAGGTCTAAAAATAGGTAGCACAGTCTGACCACTGGACTCATTTTTGCAAGCACTTTTCCAAGTACTCTCATGCTGACTCAACCTGCCACTTGGTTTCCTTAGTATCCCCAATGTACTTATATTCATGGCATACAGTGTTCATACCTTTCTATGGGTTCTTTTATGTAGGAGGCTTTTTTCTGCTGTGTTTACCTAGTGCTTTGCCCAGTAGGATGGCAGTCAGTGACTAGGGTTCCCATACAACATCACTTGAAAATCATGTGCAATATTCTTCATTACTGCCTCACACAGAAACTCCCTAATAAGTCCTGCTCCATCAAGTAAAAACATAAACTCTATTACACAAACATACAGTTCTTTCATTAGCCTATGCAGGCTCACTAGTCCTAATACCTTCTTAACATTAACATTTGTGTTTTAATTCTTCTTCATACAAGGTATTAGTGCTTTATGAATGAGAATGACAGTATTTCTGAATAACTAGTTTGAGTACTCATCACCTATCCTAAAACCTGGAGGAACCGATTTGCCAGGCTAAGATACTTCTGAAAAACGAAGCTGTGTATTGATTCCCCTTCTCTATTTCTGTGTTTAGTTATTTAACCGTATTAATGAAGAAACCCCATCCAATGGCTGCTTTGAAAAATTTGTTATACTTATCAACTTAAGAGAAGAGTAAATGCGAATGAGCACACGTAAAGTCTGTGAAGTCAAAAAAAAAAAAAAATGGACAGTCATCATCCTGTTAAGCTCATATTACCAGTCTGAATCTATAAAATACCATTGGTTAGAATGGTATGTTGTCATACGGCTTATCTTGACAGAGGTTTCCCAAGTAAAACAAACAGATGAACAAAAGCTCCCAGTGCTGAATACAGAAGCCATTTCTAGAACATTAACAATGTAAAATTAGTGCCTCCTAACCTGTTCCCAATCTTTCCAAAGGATTCTGCCTGAGCAGCAGGGTAATCAGATCCTGGGCATCTGGAGGTGGTGCTTCATCCTTTTCAGGCCAGTTGATTTCATCTAAAAAACCCCAGAAAGTTGTTTGTTATTACTTAAGTCTGATCCCAGCATTCAGCACAAACTGTGTGAAAGCTCTCATCGTCACCTAGCAGCAAAGCAGAGTTAAGGCAACTTTTTGAAGTTACTCTGTTGGATACCAATTACTTCTAATTTTATACTCTCTATACAGACTCCATAAACATATTATGTTCCCATTTTCCTTTTAAGTATCCTTTAACCAAAAACAGTGTTTAGCAACAGAATACAAGAATGCTTGGCTCATGGAAAACTATTTCAAAATATTAGCACAACTTGTAAAGTCTTCTCCCTGCACTCCCAATCATGGTTTAAATTGTAGCTGTGTTCCATGGAAACTGTTGTTAAGATGGACACTGCTGACCTGACCAAGCACTTGCTTGGTCACATCTGTATTTCTTCTATAATGTTGGGAGACTCACTAAAGTCATTACTCCCATGACTAAGGGTCCAGGTATCACTCTGTTCTGGAGACATACACAACAATGGAACTTTTCTTCAAGAGTCTCATACTTCCAAGGAAAACCACCTTCCTCTACTGACTCTTATACTACTACTATGGCTTTTGCACTTCATGGCAAGCTGGACATAAATCATGCAATCAAGACAGGATATCCTGCCTATGAACATGAACTTTCTAAAAGCCTACACAGCAAGTTTTGTCTGGCTTTTAGCAGAAGCTGCCTCCACAAATGCAATACATTTCAGGTTTTAGACAAAACTCTGCAGACGTTTCTTGGAAGGTACAAGGATTTTGGCAACAGAGAAATAGAACATTAGGAGCTCAGGAAATACAGAAGGCTGTTAAGGATTTTGCTGTCATATGATCTAGACTTCTCCTTCAAAATAATTGTACCTGGAGAAATAATCATAAAAAGCTACATACAAGTTTAACCTCCGTATTTCAGAGTTTAAGGAAAAGTACTGAAATAAACAGGCATGAAATGTAATCTGTTTCTGGAGCAATATTTTAAACTCCTGTCACTTTTGGCATGTAAGTTTACACTGAGGCCTCCCACAGTTTTCCTTGGGGGAGGAAACCTGGGGGCAGGAAAGGCAACCTACAAAGAAGGCAATGGCAAGATTTTAAAATAGAATTTCAAGTAGAATATAGATTTTGCCCACAATAACTGGAATAAAAGTCTAGGCTACAGTTTGGGTTCTTTAACACGGCTTTTACAGTTGAATACAAAGGGATCATTTATTTTAGCACAGGAAACTTATCCAACAAGAGTTCTTCTAGAAACACTAAGAATTATTTCAACAATAAGTCAACATCAGAACAGGAAACTAGGCTGATCAAAAGCCTTGGAGAGTGAGTGGAAATAGATCAGGTTAACAAATACACTTCAACAAATAATTTATGTAAGATAAATGGACACATTTAAACAGATAAAGTTATTTACATAGGCAACAGCTAGATTGTAACACATATGTTTTACAAAATGTAAAATTAATGCCACAAGCCAAATAAAGTCTGAAGTGCAACTTTTGTCATTAATTTTAAGACTATTCCCTCCCCTTCTCCAAGTCAGACAGCATAAGGATAAAAACACAGGTGCACATGTCCAGAAATGCAATAAAAACATGAGTTATTTCCATGTTTTCCTGCCTACAGCTTCCACTGCAGTTTAAATCTGATTTGGGAAAAAAAGCATGAATATGTATTGCAGCCACAAGGCATTCACAAAAAAGACATAATTTGCTCCTTGTGTTAATTAAACAGTTCGTTCTTTTTGCCACTCAGGCCTCAGCATATCACATCAGAAAACAACATGGTTATAAATTTATAAATCCACAAACAGCTAGGATATTGTATAAAGAGGTTACAGGCACTTCAGTACAGTTTACAAACAAGCCTGGCTTTCAACTTCAGAGATGGAGGAAAGCAAGATGATGACAGTGTCTCCTTAAGTACAAAAGGGGATTTGTTGCATTCTCAGAGAATAAGGAAACAGAAGTGCATTCTGAGCTTCTGGACATTTTAAGCAGACCATTAAAACAGACTGGGAAATAGTAACAGAGGTGCCATTTTGTTAAACTTGTGTCATAGAGACTCTCTACATCTATGCACCTGGGAAATTTATAGAAACAGCGCAGGATAGTGAACAAGTCTGTTTAATTATCATTCAGTTTTGTCACAAGCCATATAACACTTAGGGTCAGTTTGCAGGTTAAGATCTAAAAGGTTACTGAATTTTAAATGGAAGAAGAACAGCTGCTACAGAAATAACAGTACACTACAACAATCACCAGTGAAATCATTAACAATCTGTGAATTGAGTTTGTTTCCTTCTCTTTCTCATTATTTATTATTTGGGAGACATTTGTTTTAGAGTTTATTACAATTTCTTCCTTGTGCCATGAGGCATTTTCCCATTTATGCAAATTTATTTTAACTGTTTCTTCTCTGCTACAATTTATTTACCAAAGACTGAAATCACTACTGCCATAGTAGCACGACTTTTTTACTGATACTGCTTTGCTTTTCCAAACAGTGCAGCTTAACCATTGTATTATATATCACTGAATTTCTGTACTTAGAAACAATATATAGTAAGTGCGGCTTTTAATCCGTATTTATTCTTACTACTTTGATAGCAAATCATGTTTTGCAATATTACAATAATGGTGGATTTTTTGAGCAAAACTAGCTTGAAAACCTGGTCTATCAGTAAAGTTGTAAATACATTTACTCTGAACAGAAACTGAATCATATTTTTTTTTGGGATTATCCTCACCACTGATTACTTGTCCAAACAGCTCTTCTGGTGTATCTCCAAAGAATGGCACACACCCAACAAGAAATTCATAAAGAATAATTCCCATAGCCCACCAGTCCACTGGTTTTCCATAACCCTGTCTCAGTATCACTTCAGGAGCTATGTATTCAGGTGTACCACAGACCTAAAAGAAAGAAAATAAGCATGATGGTAAATGAGTCTAACTCAGCTATGTCACATTATTTATAATTTTTGAAATGTAAATTAATATGGAAACATAGAAAAATGGAATTCTGTCAGGTTTAGTCTGCTAAGTTTGCATAACAGCTAATGCTTTTAGAACAACTTACCTATATTAAGAAGCATCATAATCAACATTTGTGTATCTGTGATGCAAAGAACAATCTGTGCTTTGTAGATGGGAGCCCATCATAGCAAGTATTTTATGTAACTTACAACATATCCTTATCTTTGCATGGAAGTTGTGGTGGTTTTATCTTACAGAACTTCTACAGTGAACAGATTGTGAGCAATGGTAATGAGGCATGCTTAAAGGAAAATGGGCCATAGCACTGATTTTAGCACCCTTGGTTCTACAACGCATAATGAGCTCCACAAGTACTCTGTTGAGACATCATAATTCCTCATAAAAACAGGTTCCATTTGTCTCTCTCACAGATTAACTTGCACACAATTAGGTTGTTCATCTTACTAATCGATCCTAATGCAGAAAGAAAAAAGCCTAGAACAATCTGCAAGGCATCAATAAAAATAAATGACATATTCAGTTGGAAAACCAGAGCAGAAATAACAATGGTTTATATGGTATTATGGCACACTCTGCTGGCAAAACATTATTTCATGTGAACACTCAATGTAGAAATAAAAAAAGGCCATTTCTTACTTGTTTGTCAAGGAATTCTCTGGCATCCTTCTCAATATGACCCTCATAGAGATTGGTAGTCAAACTCATTAGCCCCACTTTTGACAGGCCAAAGTCTGTAAGCTTTATATGGCCCATGGATGTTACTAATAAACTGAAAAATCGAAAGATTTTAAGTTATAGTGATATAATTCAACTTTATGTGCTTATAATTGTTATTACTGCTATAATACCTAGAGAAAAAGGTTTCAATAGCACTGTAAAAGTATAAACACAGTTTAAGAAGTGATTTAACTAGGTACAAAATAAACAAGTTAAAAATCTCAGTCTTACTTTTGTTACTATTATTATCAGAGGTAAACAAACTTTTAATGTGTTATTGAACTACACAAGTCCTGAGAGCTGAATGCTAGAAGCTTAGAAGAAAGCTATCATCTGAAAGACCTAAAATAGGGTACATGTCGCTTTTGAAGTGATGTGAGCATTTTCAGTCCGGTATGAGGTGGATCATGCATTTGAAAAATCTCTCAGATATTAAGCTAGTAACTAACACTTCACTGTCCTAAGGTATCATGCTTTATGAAAGTATTGTCAGTTAACACCCATGACTCCAATTCTTTTTCTTTTTTTCTTTTTTAATCTGAAACAGGAAGAAGATTAATGGAGTTTCAATGGCCTTACTTTGTACTTCAGCTACTTGCTGTAATGTTAATTTGTATGTATAGGAGTAATATTGTACTTTTCAATATTGAAAAAAAAAAACCCAAACCCCTCAAAAAACAAAATCGCCCCCAAAAATCATGCAACAAAAAACATTTCTCCATTTGTTCAATTTTGTCTTCATATATGCAGATATCTGCAAGTTAATGATATTTTGTATTAAACAGTGGTTGAACCATACTTTGAAAAAACTTTTCCTTACTAACCAAATGCATTCCCCTCCATTTCAAACAGAAAAGTAAATGTTTTTTTTTTTAGCTACTCTGATAGCCCCTTTCATCTTAAACGCAGAAAATTCTTAATTATCTCTTTTGGAAAAAAATATATTTTCTGTAACTTCAAGTAATGAAAATTCAAATATTGTGAATTTACATATCATTCACTAGAAAAAAAAATATTCAAAGCAAGTTTAAATCTTTCATATTTTATCTACCAATTCAAATTCCTCTTTCGGTTGTATTCCATACACATACTTGTCTGGTTTCAAATCCCTATGTACAATTCCATAATTATGAAGGTATTCCAAGGCCAGAACAGTCTCTGCAAAGTACATCCTTGCCATGTCTACAGGTAAGGGACCCATATTCTTCATCAAAGTAGCACAGTCTCCACCTGTGGAAATAGGACAAATGTTCCAGATGATGCTATAAAGTCTGAGATGTATCAGTATAAACCATATATGATGCAGAAAGGGACCCAAACAACAGTCATAAATGTTTATTTTCTAATCAGATGATTCAACTGAACATGTGACCCCACAAACTACTGTACTGGAAACACAGTGTGAAGCTGGGAGAGAGCAGTACAAAGATTAATCTGAAACCAATAAAGTACATGCTGCTACTTAAGGGAATAAAAGGTGAAAAAAAAGAAAAAAAAAGTGTCAGGGGCAGGGAAGCCCACACAATGCTTCTGTCCACTGTTCGCCTTCAGCATTAGCATTTTTTCAAATTGTCTCCTCTTTCCTATTTGTCTGTAAAAATAACTATTACAAATATCCCCACATGTACTAACGAAAATCTGAACTCCAGAAAAAAGCAAACATTTCCACATGAACTTAGAATGATAGCACACTTCTGATTACAGTCTATAGGAAACTTACCCTAAGAGCAGTTATTTCCCATTATAGCTGGAGCACAAGTGTTCTACAAGCTGTTTACTGGGGGATAATGACTGGGGGAAAAAAACCCCACAAACAAACACCTTGCTGTTGGATCTAGATCCTAAATATGAACTGCTAGAATACAGAGGACACACGGGAGGGCTTTCTAATAAGTATCATATGGGTTATTTTTCTTTCTCGGTGTAAGAAAACTCTCTTCCTCCTCTGTAAAACAGAACAGACATTTTACCTTCCACATATTCCATGACCATGCATAAGTGACGTCTTGTTTCAAAGGAGCAATACATGCTGACAACAAATGGATTTTCTGCAAATGTCAGGATATCACGCTCAACAAAGGCCTGTTGGATCTGGTTTCGGAGGATGAGATTTTGCTTATTAATTTTCTTCATGGCAAATCTTTGCCTGGTTTCTTTGTGTCTCACAAAATAAACCGCGCTAAAAAGTTCAAATGGGAGAGACAAAAAGTCTGATTAGCCATTAAAAATACATTTTAAAATACATTTTTAAACAAAAAATTTTTTTTTTTTAAAACGGTGTATATATATTATATAGGAGACTTGTTTTAAAGTTGTTGGCTGTCTTTCACACTAAAGAATGATTACAAATCTCATTTTGCTTCATAACTGGGATGAATCTCAGTCAACACAAATTAGTAAGCAAACTAAAACCATGCAACTCTCCTCCACTTTCCTCTCACTCCCCCAAATAAACAACAGATATAGTAGCAAATTCTCTCAGCTCAGGTAGATTTTGGGCATCCCCATTAACAAAGGATTACATATGAAACCCAGCTATGGCACAGTGCTACAAATCATTGTGACAAATGCTCATTCTGTAAGTCTGCTGTAAGGTAAACATGACTCAGACTCAGTCCTGGGGATTTTAAAACACGATACAGGGTTTTTATGAAGGTTGCTCAGAAGTTGCTCCTTGGGGTGGCTCCCTCATCACAAGGTGCAAAATCCTCTGCCTTTTTTTCAGTCCCTGACATCAGCACTGATCTCTATCAGAAGCAGGTTACCAGTAGGTAACCTGAAACAAAGATCACTGCATCAACCACATGGTAATGGGGGACTATGATGTATCTTTACAAGCAGAATTTCCACTCGGCTGCTGGGTACAAAGTTTCCTGTGAGTCTGGTTAGATAAGGCAAAGGCAGTGAGGGAAGCAAAGGGAAAGAAAACCTCACTTGGGCAAACACTGTTGTCTTTCAAAGCTAAGGACAAGGAATCACCCTGCTGTAAAACACTGACACAGGACATTGTTGCATTTCTCAAAATCCCTCGGGGCAAATCCTAAAAATGTTTGCCCTGCTTGAAATCTACTTTGTAGCATTTAATGCTTATACCACCTCCAGAATACAATTACCACAGTAGTAAGTGTTTACCGAAAGAAAGGACTCAAAGGAGAAAACGGGGGGAGGGGGGAGGGGGGGAGAAGGGGGGGGGGAAGGGAATAGGACTCAATTATGGAGTTTTTAAATTTTAAATTTATTGTACCCATGAGGTCCAATTATCAGCATACAATTATTTAAACACAAAAAGCAACTCTTGCCTTACTATTTCTATGAAGATCTTCCCAGGAGCAGGGAAGATAAGCAGCAGGTAAAACACACTACACAATTATGAAAGTAGATGAAAACTACCTTGGACAAAACCCAAGGCAAACCCAACCCTTCATGCCTCCTACTAAGTCTCACTCCCTTCTGCCTCTCCCAAGCTGGAATACAGTCTGAGCTGAAATTCAGCTCCAGTACTCCTCACTGCTGGCTTCATGCCTTTTGTCCTGCACCTCTTCCTACTGTTCCCCTCATCCTCACTTCTCTCTCCACTCTTTCATTACAACTCTTTCCCTTATGTTTTGGTTTTCCTCTCTTATTTGTTGCCATCAGCTGTCTTTCAGCCTTAGCTTCTTAATCTCTTGTAATTTCATCTTTTCTTTTCCCTGTTTCAGTCCCCCTATGCACTGGTGGAATATAGAAAAGTAATGCCTGAAACCTCAGTCCTTTAAAAAAACTAGTTATATGAATGAACTGAGGACTGACTGAGGAGTTGGCACACAGATCTTTCTCACGAGTTTTAGACTGGACAGTGTGCCAAGATACACTTGTGAGAGGCAGATAGTACCACAGCATATTATTATAGATTCTTAATAAATCCTCCCTGCCAATTGCATGCATCTGTAAGATCATTACTACCATATTTAAAAATTATTAACCATTAAGCTTCAAAGACTGTTTAGCCCAGTAAATATCTGGGACATGCTGGCTATATTTTCCCAGCTGTCTAAACTGCATTCTCCAGTCTTACATCACAAGCCGAAAACTGTATGACTCCTCTGGGATTCTGTAATAATAATAATATAATGGCCAGTCTTCGTGAGCGAAGATTTGGGAAAGGTCTGGGATTCTGTAATTCCTCAGGAAAACACTGTTTATTTCAAGTGTACCAGACACCAAAGACAACTGCGATGCAACAGTCTTCCTCATTCTTACATACATATACACTGTTTATGCTACAAAAAGTGCTTTTAAATTATCTTTAACATACAAAAATGTCTAACATCCTCATGTCCTCCCATCACAGTAACCCAAGCAAATAGCATTTATAGTTTATGAAGAAAACTATGCCCCAGCCAGCAGCATGTTTATCATTAAATGCTGCTCATGACCTTCAGGATATAATAAAGATAATTTCAAATTTAAGGATTCTTTGACACAAAAACAGTGTAGGAAGAACACCCAGATTGCCCTGTTGATCCATTCAATGACAGTGGCATGCTCTGTCTGCCTGCAAAGCCTCAACTAGAGTGGTAGTGTTGCAGTACTCCAACGGTTTCAAGTGAAGAATTTGCTTTCCTTTCTCCCCCCAGCTTTCTGTTTTCATAACATGGTGAAAAGAATTTCCAAAACATCCCCTAGTTTCACTGCACAAATTTCAACAGATATACAAGTGCTCTGTATTTTACTGATGCTGTAGTTCAACACAGCAAATAAAGTTCACTTTTCAAGAGAAATAAGAACATTCATCAACTTTAGCACTGTTCAAACATTACCTTATTTCACTTCCAACATAAATCTCAGCTTGAAAAAGTATCTCCATAATATCACTAACTAGGTACAATTATCAAACACTGTGCACTGTTAAGATGACAAAAAAAAGCTAAAATATTTAACTGGTTTCCTGAATTAGTCCAAATTAAATATTATGCAATCAATCACTCCAATGTTACAGAAATGGCTCCTGTTTTTTCTCTAAATTAAAAATCTTTAATTACTGAAAAAAGTCAGGCAGGCTTCAGGGCTAGTTTACAGCTCTTCAGTAACTTGAAATTTTTAGAGCCATTTTACAATTTATTCTACATTCAGTGCTTAGGGCTAATATAGCCATATCACTTGCTTTTACCCTATTTTCTAATCTGTCAAAGGACCTTGAACTCCTTCTGGAGACACAGGTACTGTACTCGCTGCTTAAAAATTTCACCTGCTGACCATGTGAAATTCATTTTCACAAGTAATTTCCTTGGAAGAGACTGTTAAATACTGTACTAGCCTGGAATTATGTCTGACGTAGCCTCCAGTGAAGAGAAGCTACTTCTGAGACTGTCATTCATGTTGCAGCAATATGCTAAAGTGTACAGATAGGTATTTAAGATTAGAATTTAAAAGCAGCACTGCACCATATCATAGCTAGGCAATGTCCATGACCAGATCAGTTATATAGGGGTAAGGGGAAAGGCTATCTGGAGCACTGCAGCAGTCCTGACATAAGCATCCAGTGCTTCTGAGCTCTGGGACAATCTGGGACAATATCAGACTTATCCCAGTCTGCCTAGAAAGAAATGAAAAGCTGGCCACACGATGAAGAGAACATGATGGCTTTGATCCTTCTCTCACAACTGGTTGTTCTAATATGCCATCAATTTTGAAAAATTAAACCACCCTTCCATACCTAACAGTAGAAATGCATTCTGTCTTCATGGAAGTTAATAACTAGTAAGCGCAGATTCAAAGTGATGAAACTGGTGTCCAAAATTCTGATGGGTAAACTGTCTGGTGCTACTTAAGTGAACCTACAAAGCAACATATCCCCCTTTCCCCTTCCACTTCTGACCTGGTGGCTGCCAAGCTGATGATGAATTAACTTGAGCGATGGGAGTTTTATTCTACAGCTAAGTAACTTCCTTAATCCCATTCCCACTACAGTACTATCAACAGAGTAGAGAAGGGGCAGGAATATTCACAGGTTAGGTGCAGCAGTTGCTCAAGATAACATTGCTTCCGAGTTTTTAAATTTATCAAGCAACACCATTAGCCAGTATGTCATGTACATATTGGCATTATCATCCCTGCAGAAGTAAAATCATTCCAGGCAGGACGAAAAGGGATATCATGCATTTGGTTTAAGCAGATACATTTATAAATTGGTGAAGATGTATTGAACTAACATAACTCACTTCCCTGAGATCAAATGTAATCTTTATTCTGTTGAGCTGTTTCAGGAAACCACGCTGATATTAACTTGAGATGGACTACTACTACTACCTGCTACCTCGTGCAAGTTGGAATATGGAAAAAATGTTGCTGTGATTGCATAAAAAGTTTAAAATTTGGGAAGTATGAAAAGTTTTGACTGGCTGAAAAAAGTCATATAGACAGCTTGTGAAACCCTTAATGACTTGGCCAGAATCCTACACTGTTTACTGATTCACAGCTTGTTAAACTTCTTTTATATTCCTAGCCATTCCCAAAAGCCTCATCTATGACACCTCATCTACTATACAGTCATTCAATTGCACTGTGAGTTTACCCAATCAATTAAAAGTAGAGAACTGCTAAGATATTTACTCAAACCTTCACAAAACCAATAGTTTACATTTAAACTCATCAAGTTTAGCATATCTGACAAATCTCTGCTACAGCATGCCAAGACCAACAAATGTCAAGAAGCCAAAACTTTCTATTTCACTAATAAAGGCAAAAACACCACAGCAAAATAAAAGAACAGATGAGGTTTCCTTTAATTGATTCAGAATCAAACCTTCCATTATAGCCTCGAAATAAGTAAAATATTACTACAGAATACTGAATCTTTAATAAGTCAGAGCACAAAACATGTGCAATGACTTTTTTGAGAATAAATCAATGAAGCACAGGTAGAATTCACACATCTTTAGATGATTTCCAAAAATTAGCAGCCTGGAAAAAGACACAAGGGAAAAAATAATCCTTGTAGCATAACAACAGTAACTTTTATTTCAGCTGTTTACATTTGTAAATGAACTGCAAAAAATGCCTTTAGGACAATTTATTGCTTTATATTCACAAGAAACAGATATCATTGGTTTATTGCACTACATTTTGTAGATGGGTTAGAAAGCATTTCGGTTATCTTAATGTGCTCCCCTTTAAACTTGACCATAATTTTTGAGTAAATTAACCATCAACTGTACTGGTGTGAACAGAAAAAAGAAAAACTCACTTAATAAAGATTAAAAAATGGTCTGTTGATTTTACAGTCTGTCCCACTTGTCTGATATACCATGGTGGAGATTTTCAAGGACACAGGTCATTTTGAAAAAGTGGTAACCAAGAGAATTTAGCGGCACAAGCCTCCTCAACTTACAATATTCAACAGGTGCTAAAATCACTTTTAAAAGTGAGTAAATACTTTTAGAAGTTTATTGTCTGACATTTCACTGAGGGTGTTTCTTTCCCTCTACATGAATTGTAAGGGGCCGTTTGTTTTCTTGTTCTTGATTTTTCTTCTAAGAAGTAATGATTTAAAAGAAAAATCCAAATCAACAAAATCTACCTTTGTTATTACTTCCTTAATGATGGAAGTAATAGCACTCTGCTAAACTGATGAGCTTTTCAATTTCCACTAATACTGTCACAGTATAACCTGTCAGCCTACCCCTGTTTTTACATTTGCTAAAGATGATGATTCATGAACAAACTGAATACACTCCAAGGTATTAATTCTCTATCACCTCTCCTTTTCTTCTCACATTTATCAGGGTCTCATCCAATTTTTACAACATTACATTGCCAACTTTGCTTGTTATTGGCTTTTATGAGGTATTTCGTAAGTGTTGATTTTCCCAGCCACAAACACGAGGGAAAAAAACCATGTGTGTCATGGAAGGCCATGGCTTTTCATCTGTTCTTTCCAGCTTTTCAGATCTTAATTATCTCTGGTTTAGGATGAGCAGTTGTCTCCAGTCTGTATTTCTTAATGGCTCATTGAAGCTCCTTCTGACTGTAACACCCACGGAGCAAGAACCACAGAATTTCTGACTTCAGGTTTCAGGCCTCACACTGCTGACTACACTATGCCCTTCTGCAGCTGCTCCCTCCTCCCCCCATCCCTCAGCAACCAAAAACTGCTGGGAGGCTGGGCAGATTCAATGACTCTTGACACCTCTTTCTCCAGTGGGGGCCCACCCAACACAGTTCCTCCTATCCTCCTCCAGTAAGACAAAGAGATGAAAGGAGGAATGGAGGGGACTTAGCATCTGCCAAGGAAAGGAGAAAGGGGTGCAGCCAGGGAGGGGTGCAGCATCTACTGCTAACTGCTGAAAGGCTTTTGAGGTAGTGAGGTAATTGGGAGAGGCTGACATACAATAAGCAACGAGTTTGCCTATGGAGAAATTCTGAGAAAATTGAGCAGAGGTTGACTAGTGAGAAGTTGTATTTGAATATTTACATAACTTTAATTCAAATTATGGTATTTCCTTCAGGATTTTTGCTGAGCTAGGTAAACACATCTGGACAAAAATAGCCTTCACACAAGTTACCACGACCAACAGTACTAAATGCCTCCTGTTCCAGAACTCAGAGTCACCTTTAACTAAATATCATCAGAGAGAGATAATCAGCCTCAGGCCATTAAACAGGCACAGAAACTCCAGTGGGTATACTGCAGGTGCTCCTTCTCCTATGTCCAGGATTTCTTCAAAGAGTGCTCAGTTGTATCAGGTCACTACTGCTTTCTACCTCAAGCAGAGGTGGCACAGAGCAGGGTCAGTCTAATGGGGTCTCTGCTGGAGCGCAGCACAGCCCTCCTCCACTGCCAAGTCTTATTTGGTTGTGGGCTGATCACCTCAAGATGGAAATCTCTCTTTTTTGAACCAATATACATCCCTCCTCTTCCTGCAGATTACAGAGACCAACAGTTTCTGTCTCGATATATTTCAATGTAGAGGAGGAGCCAAACAAAGCTCTAACAGGTTGTACTGGATCAGAAGAGGTGACTGAAGACAGACACCATCACTGCACAGTACTTCCCACACATCTGGTGGTCAGGTAACGTTTCCTTTCATTTAAGGCCCAGGTTACCAAAATGTTCTTTTAGCTTTGTGGGGATATCTCCAGATGACTGACTGACTTACAACTCACACTGGGCAGCAAGTTGTGCAATTTCTAGAAACTAATAAAGTAATACCAATTCCTTTAAATCTAATTGGTTAAAACTTAAGGATTAGAAGAGTAACCATGGAGAACACTGCTTCCCTACTTCAGGAAATTTATTTCTATTTCACCAATATTTTTAGGTCAAGTAAGTACTTATTTTTATCAATTCGTCTCCCTACAAATGAAGTTTTATTCTGTCTCATATCTGCATAAGCACAGGCTCTTTCCAGTATTATAAAGGTGACTTTAAATTTGCCTTTTCATTTATTGAGGTTTTATCTATAGCAGGATATCCACTTCTGAAAAATCTTAGTGGTTTAATATTCAGTACTTTAATTGACCGCAGCACACAGTAATTAATTATTGTCTAGCAAACTTTCCAAAAACTCGTAAACTCAAATATTAGTAACAAAACAGAAAAGCAAGATGAAAAAAGTGGCAGTGCAAACTCACTCTCACACAAAGATCCCTGAAATAAGAAATAATGGAAAGTTAAGCAGAACTAAAATGCAAAGGACTTGTCGCACTCAGGGATTACTCACCCATAAGCTCCATTACTAATCAGTTTAATTGTTTCAAAATCACTTTCCCGAGGTTTCCTCTGCAGCTTCAGTGAGGTATTAGAGCTCTTCAAAGGAAGAGATGAGAAAGAACAAAGTTAAAACTACTTTTTTTCAAAATCAGGTGGAAAAAAACAAACAAACAAAAAACCCCAATCATCACCAGGTAAAAGCTCTGGCCAGTCAGTCACAGTCCGCACAGAGAGGGACCAAGGGACTCCTGAAGCAAAGCTGCTTTTTCATCAGACAGGTTCATCTGCTGAACCGCAGCAAACTGTCCACCTATCTACATGCAAAGGTTACAGCCATGAGGGGTTCTGGTAATGTAGTTACTGGCAACTCTTATCTGGAGTTATGGACTCCTGTGAATCCCACAAGGCTCTCGTTGGCTGTTGCCTTCCCATTTTAGTAAATCTCATATTACGGTCTGGTGACAACAAACTGCAGATGAGCTCCTGTTTATTCAAATAAACTTTTGCACATTTCAAACTAATGTTAGGGTAGAGTGTGATATAACTTAGAACAGACTGTGAAAAGAGACAAAATGAAAAATATAGAAGACAAAAATGCATTAATTCTACCTTGAGAGAGTCACTTTTACCTACTTGTCAGAACTTTTTAAAAATTGAGTTGTCCTGAGTATGGCAAAACTTTTTTTCTAGTTTTAATATTTAATTAATCTTCAATATGTGTGAATTAGAATTGGGGTTCAGGGAGGAAAGATGAGGGCACAGGACTCCAAATTCAGCATTACAAATTGACTACTAATATAGTTTTTTAATGTTTTCCAAACCTCCAAGAAGTTCCATGATTCCTATCCAAGCAGTTCGGTAATACTTGGAATTTGAAAGTAGAGCTGGTTGGAACACTTTCAATTAAGTGCTTGCTAAAGAAAATTCAGTGCAAGATCAGTGAATATGTTAATATAATGAACTACACAGGAGGTGACAGAGAGGACACTAAATTGTTTAGCCCACTTGCCTGTCAGTACAGGATTCTTCCGAATTGCATATTTAGTATCATTGTGAACAGTCCTGTGCTTGCAAGTTACGCTTCCTGTCACTTCCCACATACGTTTATTCCACAGCTACGCTTTCAGATACTTCCAAATATCCTGTATTTTTCATTACTAATTTCATTTCATCATCTCCCTTATTTACATTCCTTTATTACACTGCATTATCCTTCTTGTATTTCTTCAGCATTTGCACAACACAAACTTTACTATTTCAGTTTCTTAGCTAACCCACCTTAGATTCTGTTAAGCACTTCATCACTTCCTTTAAGCCTTCTAGTTATTCTGTCTGTCTTTTCTCCAGTTTGTCAGTATCCTTCCACTAAATACTGCTTGGGTGTAATACAGTATTTTAAATGCAAATGAATGAAAGTAGCAGAGTAAGAAACACCTTTTGTGTCAATTATGGAATTATGGCTTTATAAGTGGCATTTTGCCAGAATGTCAGAAATTATTCCAATATAATATGACATGTACCGGAGAACGATGTCTTTTCTGTTACATATCAGAACTACTTTAACAGACAACCCATGCCGGCTAACATTTGTAAATACATGTAAAGTACCACTAATTACCCACACATCTCCTCAAACAGCACTTGCTTTCTCTATCCACTTGAACTAAAAATCAACCAATAACTTTTTAGAACTTCATCTACTCTGTTGACTGAAATCCAAGGTATAAGAACCAACTTTTAAAAATAAGAATTTAGAATAAGAGCATTTAAGTCCACAATATTCAGTGCAATCAACTCGTCCAACTCATTTTTGTTTTGCCATCTTGAGCAAACATCTGACAAAATATTACTGTAACATAGCCCTTACTGTAGGCAAATATTTCCAAACACATATTCAGAAGAATGATGCACAACCTTCCAGACTGTAAACTAACTTTCTGAATCCAGACTATTTGCTAACTTACTCATTTCTTCCTTGTCTCTCCACTGGATCTGTTCAGAGTCTCTCACTTTGATCATTAGCTGCCTCTGTGAATGGACTGTTATAAAATTTCTTTAAAATTCTTTGTTTTATTAAACAGTTTACAAGTACTTCTAAAAGAAAAAGAAATACATTGATTGAACAGAAACAAAGAAAGCACTGGTGGATTTTGTGGTAAAGCTATTGCCACATGGTTGACACTAAATTCATGGAAGCTAAAGACACTAAAACGTCCAGGAAAATAGGTAGAAAGTTTTGTTATACTTTTTGAAAGCCTTCTGCCTGCTGAGCATCATGGCATTAGTGTGAGGATTAACCAATGTTTATTCAATCTGTTTACATATACCAAGAGAAAATAAAACAGACAGGGTTGGGGGGAACACAACACATTTTCTTTGCTCACATTCAGCAACAGCAGCGACATAACAGGAAAGCTTACATTTACTGATTCATCCACTTCCGGAGTTTCTGCTGTCCCACTCTCACAATTAGCTAGCTGAGCTATTTCTGGAAAGAAAGATTAAAAATTTCATTTTAAACTACAGCAAATACAAAACTAGGTGAAGCACGGAAAACCTGAAAAGTGACACCCTTCTGAAACTAATTATAAAATAGTGTCCTCATGTAGTACTTACCAAGTAATTTTCAGGGCACCTCCAAGCATAGATTAAAAAAAAATCCATCCAGAAAATTAAGACCTGCTATTCAGTGCCTATTTGAATTCTTCTATGAAGAATTCATAGAAGAATTCATTCAAATTCTTCTATGAAGAATTCAAATGGCCATGAAGCAATGAAAAGCAATACTGTTTTCACTGCTGAGACATGAGAATTCCAAGATTTGTGTGTAAACTGAGCATTAAGGGAAAGACAGCACTACTCTGCTAGAACTCCTGAGGATCTCAGCCCCAGAGGGGTTAACAGTAGGCACCCTCCTTCTTGGGCTCCTTTACAGTTAAAGCAAAAGCTTCTAGTTTAGACTAAAGATGGAATCCAAATATTTTTCATCTTCTACACAGAAATACTGATAGGCCTAGCAGAATAAACTAAAAGCCCTTCTCTTAGAAGCTTATCATTTAGAGAGTCATAATACAGACAACTTCTCTGGGAAAGTACTATTCTGGGAGTCTACAACTTGACCAGATTATCCCTGCCATAGGTCAACCTATGCTGCAAAGCTCCTAAGCCAACCCTGTTCTTCAGGGGGGCAGTAACTAAGAATTCATTTGGGTAATAAAAGCTAAACAGGACAGCCAATACCCATAAGACCCCATATACCTACTTGAATTATATACATAGTTATTTATATACCCCCTACATAGCAAAAGATGCACATTTTATCACAATTATATGCTGGGAATCAGACAGATAAGACCACCTGAAATTTGTAAGGTCCATTTTTATCTCAGGACTGTTAACTGAATTTATGAATACGAAATATAACTGAATATTCACACAGAATATCTAAACTGGATTTTTCTATATATTTCTATATATATGATCATTATAAGTTAAATGCTGCACAACACTTACTGCAATTTTTAAAAGCAAATTAACCACATAGACAATTGTCTGTTGGAACAGCTAAAGATCTAAAAGGAGTAGCTCTTGTCTGTAATCACTATTGAAAACAAAATGTATGTAAAGTGTAAGAAACAGAAGAAATTAGAATGCCACTTCAAAAGTCAAGTAGATTTTTAAAGCCTGAAAATGCTAAAAAAATTTCCAAAAATTAAGTCAATAAATGGTGAAAAATATCTCCACTGAGAACAAACAAATCTTAAAAAAAAAATAAAATATATAGGATGAACTTGGAGTGGATTTCCCCTGGAAAAGTCACAGTTTTGTGAACATGGGGGTTTTAAAACAGAAGTGTTGATGAAACTTTTATTGTATGGGAGAGAACCAAGCAAGCTGGAATAATATACTTTGACAGCCTTCTCAACTGAAATTACTTCCATAAATAGCATATTAAAACACTATCTTTTTAAACAAACTTTTGCAAAATAACCATTATCTGAAAAATCCATATTATTTGCAGGCAGTAGGTAGTAATGGGATGGAACCAAGAGCCAACTTTCAAAACAGGGAGCTATGGAACCATTTTGCAATGCCTGAAGAGATTTTTAAAACTCATCTAAATACCATTAAACATCTGTCCTTTTTCTTTCATTGATTTAAACCATTTCTCAAGACTCATCATTCAAAACAGTAAAGATGGTAACTTAAAGCACTTGGGGAAAAATTTCTCCCCAGGCAACTCTTCAGAAATGCAGCCACCACTCTCTAACCGCTGAATCTGTTGTGGTATTGCTTTCAGTACAGTATAAATTTATCTAACATTATCTCCAAATAATGCATGCATCATTTCACTCAAAGAAAGGACACTACAGCTATGGCAGCAAACAAAGGAGGTAAGTAGAGAAAGGTCTGAAGCAGGTTGCTTTTCTCTGCAGATGTCATTGCACAGTGATTTGTACTGCTTATAAATATCACTTTTTTGGTAGCATGGCAGGAAAGCATTAACACAAATCAGATGGCCTGAATTACTTGATCACAAATACACATACATATTAATCTTTAAAATGACACACAAGTTAATTCTATTGCACAAATCTCCAACTGAATCAAAGATCAGCAATCCACACATCATACAGCTATCAGTATTTACTGACAAACCACATGGTCCATTTTTTCCCCTCAGAAAAAAATAAAACAAACAACATTTCAATTATCCTGGAATGCTTTAAAGTTTAGATTATATTAATACTTAGTTTATGAACTATAATTTTAAGATGTGTCTTTGATGAAGTACACTCATGTAAAGTAGTCAGAGCAAGAGTACTCCTTACTTTTTTCCTATATCTCTCTCATAATAAACTGGTAAAAAAAAAAATTAATCAAAGATTTTATTTGCTTAGACTCATAGATTCTTGACTCATACCAAGGAACATTTTAATCCAAGTGGCCAAGAAGAGTCAATCAGAAAGGTAAGGTTCAAGTGGCAGAACCAGGGTCAATGATACAAAACCCTAAACACACACTCCAAATAACATCTTACATACTTGATCAGGGAAGAATTTATGAATTGCTGGTTTAGGACAGACCAATAGCTCACCAAATCCAGAAGACACTTGCAGAAAATTAAGATACTTCCTGATCTTTTCCAGAAAAAAAGGGAAAACAATATTTATGTGTATTTTCCCAGTTTGTCTGGCTTCCTTGCTGTACTCCAAATCCAAGTAAAAAGCATCAAAGCTGTTAATCTGTATCTGAGATAAAAAACAGTACTAAATTTGGATGAGGAAGTCCTTCTGTGAAGATAGGAAGCAGACTAATAATAGACTTGATTTTCTTTAGGTCTGTTAATATAGCATGAATACCAGCTATAACACCGTCCAATTTAATTGAATTAGATCTAACCAAATTCCTGACAACACAGGCAGTACTGAACTTTACAAACTGCTTTAGTTCAGCAAAAAAGAGTTAAAAACACAATATGTGACACCTTTGATTTAACAACAGGAGATCATCCATCATAAGAACTAGCTAAAAAAAGTTTATCATAGTGTTTTGCTATTACTTTGTTTTATCAAGTCCTCTCTTAGTCCTGCGTCATAACACAGAAGACAAGATAATTGGCACTAGCTAGACTCATTTTTGCATGATGGCATTTCTGCCAATTTCTTCCAAATTACAGAACTAGCACTGAACACAATTTCTATTTGAAAATTTCTATAGCACTGAACAAAATTTCTATTTGTCAGCAGCGACAGACCATGCTCTCAGGATGGCAAAGAAGATAGTTTGACTAGGACAGAGAAGTAATTTTAATTTTTTCAACGCTGTCCTTAAAATAATCATAAAATAGCTTGGGTTGGAAAGAACCTTAAAGATCATCTCTGCCATGGACAGGGACACCTTCCACTAGACCAGGTTGCTGAGAACCCCATCCAGCCTGGCCTTGAATACATCCAGGGATGGAGCACCCACCAATTCCTTGGGCAACCTGTTCCAGTATCTCACCACTCTCACAGTGAAGAAAAATTTTGCAATGACAATACCTCCACTGGAACCCAAGTTCTCCCTACAAAAGTTTTCAACATGTACACATAAGTTACCTGGAAAAATAAATGGAATGGAAGGTAGTTTTCTCACAGACTTAAAGATGCAGAAGCCTGGGGCCGCTGAAAAGCTAACAGCTCAGCCCAGGTTTTTTCCTTTATACCTGTGGTTAGATAACATTTGATAACCATCAAACCATCCCAGTAAATTTCAGCTAGAGTTGAAATAAGAAAGTTGCATTGTCAGGCTGGAAAAAGATGACCAGTATCATTGACACAATGTAGTTGTGAATGATATTCAAATGGAAAAATCCTATACACAACAGGCGGCCTTTTTAACGCCTTTGAGCTTGGGAGAGTACTGAGAGGGTTAGCAAATGCTTTTTCTGCTACCATCTTAACTTTACCCTTTTCAGGCACACACAGATTATCAGAATGATAAATCACATGGAGAAGGAAGAATCTAGGAACTTACAGCTCTACCAGGAGATACACTTACCTTCCAGAGGATCTTTATTTAAGCCCAGCTGGCTAATGATATACCGAGGGATGTCTGTTTTAATGCCCTGACCCTCTTTAGCATGGCCTTCAGCTGCTTCCAAAAGATAGTAGAACTCTTCAGGATCAAATTCCTAGAAGAAAAATAATCACCTTCATTTTCTCTATTGAAATTGAATTCTTAGAGCCTAACTAAAACATCCTTTGCGTCTTCTACTGGACATATTTGACATTTCCCTATTAAAAACAATACCTCTTTATTCTATTACTAGTAGTTTATTAATCTATTCTGATTTTTCTGTATCATAACATACTGTAAGCAATGAAATTCCATACCATTACTTCAGAGCCTTACTTTATAGGAATAGTATGCCTTCAAAACTTCACATAATACTGAGTGAAATGATCTATAACCAGCAACAATAACATTTCAAATAGAGAAGACTATCTCCCTGCATCTGGTTGCCTACAAAAATACACTACAGAAACAAACTGTAAATATATTGTACTACAATTTTTACTTCTAAATGAAATTTGAAGTATTTTTAATCAATATATATGCACTGTGTTTTATGGAAAATACAATTAAATAAATCGATAGACAAAATTGTTAAGTTGATAAAAAAAACATTTGAACTTCATTGATCCAATTGTTCCACATCTAGAAATGAAACATTTTCCTTTGGGAACTAACTATATTGTAACTCTCTTTTATAACATACCTAAAAAGGCAAGCCTAAACAAGCAACAAAAAGGAACAAAAAAACCAGAAATTCAAAACTGCCTATTCCCAAGTTCCTTGGAAATACTTTAATTTTACTACCTTTATAGATTATAAAAATAAGAATGCATTTAAAGGAGCAAGGAAGTTTATTAAAAGGTTTGTCAGATTTTTTTTTTAGTAGAATTTCTCTCTCTACCAGCATGAATTCCTACCAAAACATCTCTTCAGGGCTACTGCATTCTTCAAGATGTTTCTATAAACAGGTGCCATGCTTAACAGTGTCAAACATGATGAGTCATGAAACACTGATGTAACAAAACAGACTTTTTCCTCGAGTAAGTTCATCTCTGTCACAAATACCTGTGGAAGCCAAGCAGACTGCTGAGCTAGCTTCCCCAACTCTTGTTTTGTGGCCTAACATAACCCCATGTGGTTTCAGTTTACATGCTGAATCACAAGGCTCCTGTCCTAGATTCTCAGGCTACTCAGGACATGGAAACTCAACATCCCAACCCAGAAAAGGGCTTGAGAAATTAGGTATCATGCTTCATTTTAAAAGCATCAAAGCAGATGCAGCTAACAGCATGTCTGAAATAAAGTATCTGTGGAATTTTCAGTTTTATAGAAACAATCTTAGTTTTACATTTATCATGAAACAATTTTCATCATCTACAGCCTACTGCCAAGGATTTACCATGAACCCATAAAGTGCCAAAACTGTCTTATTTAACTTAAAAGCCTCAGGATGCTGCTAAATTGCCTAAAAATCTGAACAGATAACTAAGTGGTACATGCTGTTTCAGTCTTACTCTCCTCATCTGACTTGCCAAGCCCAACTGATTCTCTTACATGTTACTCCCTGGCACTGAAGAACCCAACAATGTGGTTGTATGCCAAGATTTCTATTTACTTTCATCATGAAAACATCATCTCTTGACCTGCTGCAGTGGCAGATATACAGCTTCTCCTCCACTTACTAGCAAGACAAGGCAATTTCAAAACAGGTAGTTTTAATCTTATGAGGGGGGGGGGGTGTATGTGCACGTATCTATCTAAACACATTCATCTAGGTATATACATACACAGGTGTGAATAATGAGAAGCAACACATTTTCTGATCTTTACTTCCAACTATTTAATTTTCCATGTACAAATAGAGAAAAATCTTTCAATATTTGCCAGCAGCTCTTGCCACACATGAAACTGTAAAATCTTTATTCATATGATTATCAGGTAAATTAAAATAGGAATTCACATGCCATGAACACTTGAGCCAAGACCACCATCAGAAAACTGACAGCTTTACTGCATATCTGAAACTTCTTATGAATAAACAGCCAGATTTATTTTCTACAACTTTATGAACTTTCTTACAGAGGTTGCAGTTTTTCATACCTAGTATCTACTTCAGACAGATATTCTAAAATATTAGCCAGTATTATTCAAAAGTTCCCAGAGGGACACTACAGACTTTGTTCCTGTAAGTTCACACGATTCCAGTCTTGTTTATGGAGTAGGCTTAACACCCTCTTGCACGAGAAACATATTATTTTCTGACAGTATGCCTAAATTTATTCAAGCTGCCTGTATCTGTAGGAACATATGGTGCAGGGTTTTTACATTCCAGTATAAATCTCCTGAACATCCTGTCTGAATTGAGAACACTTGGAGCAAGCTGTGCTGGCTTTCCCTGCCATTGCTGCTCTGAAACTCTGAACTACGAGACACAGTCACTTCTGGTCTTTGCAGCACAGTCCTTCAACTCACTTCAGAAGACCCAGCAAAAGGAGGGACACTATGCACAACTTGCATACTGCATATGCACTCTACTTGAAGGATAAGGCAGAGCAAGTAGCCTAGGATAAAATCCCAGTCACAGAAACCGGGAACTAAGTGAATGGAGATTTGGACTAGATCCCTATAAAACTCAGCACTTAGGGAGAATGAACCAATGGGCAAATAGGCCACCAAGAGAGAACCACAGAATCATCAAGGCTGGAAGAGACCTACAAGATTATCCAGTCCAACCATCCTCCCAACATCACTTTAACCCCTAAGCCACTAAACCATCACCCAGTGCCAGATACAGATGCCCCTTGAACACCTCCAGGGACGGTGACTCCAACACCTCCCTGGGCAACTTATTCCAATGCCTCACCACCCTAATGGTGAAAATTTTTTTTCTAATATCTAATCTGAATCTCCCTGGTCTCAAGCTTAAGGCCATTTCCTCTTGTACTCCCACTGCAGGCAGAGAGCTGCCCCCTACCTCACCACAACCTCCTTACAGGTGGTTGTAGAGAGTGCTGAGGTCCCCACTGAGCCTCCTCTTCTTGAATTAAACAATCCCAGCTCCCTCAGCTGTTCCTCATGAGACATTTTCTAGACCCTCCACAAGCCTTATTGCCCTTCTCTGGGCATACTCCAGCACTTCAATTAGAAAGCTAATGAAGAATGATGACGCTGACGGAAGGGGTTAGTGGGAGAAAGCCCACTTTGGAAGAGAAGGATATTAAGCATCATTAACAAGTGTTGGTCTGTCAGCCTTCTGGATGTGTTTAAGGGCATTTCTGGATGTGTGATAATAGAGAAGGATGCAGACCAGAGGGGAAAAAGTAGGGAAAAAACCATCATATGAGAAATTGGGTTATGTGGATAAAGGCTACATGAACCCTGTGACTAGAGCAGGGAACATCACACTAGACATGGAATAAGCTTTTCAGGGCTCAGGAAGAAGGAGTAAAACAAGTTTGGATATGGTGGCAGAGGCAGGACATGCTACGGTGTTCTCTTCTCTAAAACCTGCCTTTTTGTTTTGTTTTTAAACTTCTCTTTCATGCTGATTCAGAGCACATATCTTATTTTAGACTGCTCCTGAACTGCAAATCATGAACAAAATGCAACTGGGAATACTGAAACATGACGTTTCCAAAACAAAACAGACAGCTCTCAAAATGCCCATAGCTGAACGAGCCAGGTTGTGGATTAACTGTGCCATAGATGAAGGGACACAGTACAGAGCCAAAATCAGGTTGGAAAGACTTACTAGCTCAGATCCAGTGCCATAAAAATGCAGTTATGACAATTTCAGGCATAACTTGAGTCTAGCAGCAAGTTAGTGGCTCCCACATAAGCCTTGCCTGCCTCAAACAGCTGTACACAGCATCAACACTGTGATCTTGGTATTGGCAGGCAGAGAGGCTCAAAGTCAGCTTGGGCTGCCTGCCAGGCCTGTTGGACTCAGGCTGGCTATTACATGGTATTTGGGTGTCTGCACCATCCTCCTGAATACATTGTGTTCTGTGAGCGTTTATTAGTTCCACTGAACAACTGAAGCACACTGGCTCTGTGCGCGGGAGCAACTTCCCGCACCTGAACCATCCCAGCTCCTGCAGCATGGACAAGAAAAGCAGAGACACACCCACACAGCTCACACAAATTAATGCAGTCTGACAACACTGGTGCTATGCTCACGCATAAGTAAGTAAAGTCTTCTGCTCTTTCTGGTCCCCAGTATAATGTCAACTACCCATATATGCAGGCAGCCTAATCCCTCTGCTGTTATTTTCCCCAGATCAAGTACAGCAGAGCTGACTTCAAGCTGCTTACAGCTCTGGCAGCTGCTAAGTGAAACAAAATTATGAAACTGGGAAGAACAATGGGAAGAACACCAATTACAATTCAGGAACAGTCTTCCCAAGAAATAACGAATTCTAACAAACCAACAGAAAAACCCAACTGGTTCTGAACAGCAGCTTCCTTAGCTGATGAAAAGGGTTCTATACCATAGTACCTGCAATAGCAAGGAAGCAAACAAAACTGCAGGAAAGCCCTGAAATAAAAGTGAAAGGGATCCTACCAACAATGAAGTCCTACCTCACTGTTCGATATGTTCCGAGAAACGTTTTTAAAGGGCCTTGAATACTAAACCAGAAATTTCCTACACTACCAAGTGAAAAGCACTACTCATAATAAGCATGACCTTACCAAGCATTCCAGTAAGCGAGCAGGACGAGCAATAACTATCAGGATTTTTCGAACAAGCTGTTTAATAAATGCCATTTCTCCACTCTCTGATCGCTCTTGGGCCTAAAAGATAAAAATAAAGTGATATTAAACAAAATCACATTCAGTGCCCTGCAGGAAAGTATGTATGATATTTGGGACACCTCTGAGGGTTTGAAGCATGTACTTGATACAAACAGCACCTCAATTTCAAGATGCCAGCAGAGATAACAAGGATCTGAGCAACACTAACTTTAAAATAAAGTAACCCCATTTCTACAATTCTAACACTGTAACAACAAAATAAAAGTACCTATAATGGACATATACCTGCAGGTTTTTTTGCCTGTTTCTTAAGCTTACATGGTATTATTACCAGTTTTGCAAAAGAGACAAAATTCAATACAACACAGATCCCTACATGTAGGTTGTGCCTCAATTTGTTAATAATTTTAGGATTAAATGAAAACTAACCTAAATAATATTAAAAGATACAAGCAACATTCATGCCAAATTGTTACTGATTTCCCATAGTCAATTGTCATAGTGAAATGACAATGACATATATGTGAACACATAAAAACTACACTTGCAGAGAGGCTCCATATAGAGGTACATGTAGACAGGAAGACAATGAAAAACTGAGTTCTACAAAGATTACCACAAATGGGGGGAAATGCTACAAAAGAATACAGTCAGAAAAAATACTTCTAGAAGGCTTGATAATATCTGCACAATGGTCTGAGCTGAATTTCAAATTTCTTTAAACACTTTGCTCTAAGAACAAATTATGTAATTTAAGAATGCCAGTGAATGCAAGGAAACAGTATAAACATATTAATAGCCCTTGCCTCAAATATCAAAGCACTTCTTTATTCTGAACAGTAGAAGCCGCAGACTTAAATTTCTCATCATCTCTTGCTTATTCAAAACCACAAAGAGAACTAAGAAACTGACACTTAAAAAATAATTAATATGGACAAATAAGTACTTTTCATATAACACATTATATTTTTTATTTAAAAACAGGAAGCTATAAATACTGCTCTTAACATAAGTACCACAATTTTAAAAAACATCAAATATCTGAGATGAATTAATTTGTAGAGTTTAAAAAAGGAAAAAAGAAAAAGGTACAAATGCTATCTAGCACTCTGCAATAGATTTCAAAAGAATCTTGACTGGATAGAAGCATAACTCAGAACATTATCACCTAAGTCCAATAAAACTCTTTTGTAAACAAAAGACTTGCCTATTTTAACCACTAGCAAAATGTAAAGCACGTCTGTAGAGTTTTGTGAACAGTTAAGTGCATAAGTGAACAAAACTTTCAATACATATTACATTTAAGACGGATGGAGCAGGAAAACATTCAGGTCCACTTGACCTTGCCCTTAGAATTATAAAAATGCTGGCTGAACTAAGCTGCTCAAACCTCAACCAGGGAGTCTTCCCCTGGTTATGCTTAGTGCCAAGTAGCTGCAGAAAATGCAACTTTCTACTGATCATTGCAGCTGAGAACTAACAACAAATAAATAGCATGAATCCATAGCACAACTAATTGCCCAGAGCCAAGTCGTGCAAAGAAAAAGTTTTTGTACTGTCATATTATGCCATTAACAAGTATGCAGTGGACTCAAAGGTCTGAATATTTTAAGGTATAATGTCTTTGCAGAACAGGAAACTTTTTCATAATACAGAATTAGCATCACAGAACATGACAAAATGAGCGTTTTGGTAATTTTTTTTAATAATGCACTGCTTTATATGCAGATTGAAGAATAATTTGTTGGAGCTTTTTTTTAACAGGTTTTGGGGGAGGTGTTAATGAGTGAACATATACACTAAACTTCACTAAACATGTAGCCATTTTAAAGGCTATACTGTTAACAATTATAACAGTGGTTCAGTGAATCTTAGCTTAGACATGCTTCCTTGTATTTTGACATTATCAACTGGCCAATTATGCCTACAATTTGGCATCATAAAAGTATGATCGTTTCACAAGAAGGTCACTGGTTCAAACCCTCCTCTTGACTAGCAAGCAACCTCTATGTACTTTTAATGTTTAAAAAAACAGGGTTTCAATAATCCAGAAATAAATCACTGGTGTCTTAAGTTTTGCATTGCTGTATGAAGAGAAAAAATTTAAAATACACCAGTTGCAGAAATCCTATTTACTCAGTAGAAGTTAACAAAAAAGCAGCACAGGAAAAAAACCAAAACCAAACCAAAACTTTTAGCAACTGCTTTTGCATTCTAAAGAAAACAGAAAACATAAATGAAGATGGGCACCGCATCTTAACATATCAGTTGGAAAATTTCAAGTTAATATCAAATCTGCTGGTCTATCAGATTAACTTTGGTTTATAATGTACTATCAGGTCCCACACAAACAAATGAGTATACTACATGCCTCACTCACTGTTTTAAAAATGATACATTAATAAACTGTAGCGACTTATGTCAAAGTGCATTTGTTACATTTCAAGTTCTTCTTAATTCATTTAGCTGGTCATTCTATGAAAGTTTCAACACTTTAAGAAATCACATTATTTCTGTTAACAAACAGTTCAATTACGAAAGGAATGTTAGAAATAAAAAATAATTAATTAACTTCTTGCTAATGAAAAGCTAGGGGTTGCTGACTGCTTTCTCAACACAGCAGGCAATCAGTAGGGTTGATAAAAAGCACAGTGTGTATGTTTCCTCATTTATTTACAGTAAACGGAATAGCAAGCATTCTCCTTTGGGGCTTATGCACACACCTCTGTAAGCAATTTATAACTTGCAGTGCTGTTGTTTCTGAAATCTTTACAACCCATCTATTTCAGCTTATCATTTCTGTAGTGGTTATTATGTAGACTAAAAGAGATATGAATACAACTTTGACAACCACTTGAGTGAACAGTCATGATTCATGACACCATTCAAGACAACTCTAAGGCAAACAGATTTAACCCATTTTTCAAGCAAATATAACAGTCTCATGGCTCATACCTCCTGTAGCAATTTGTCTAATTTCTGCTGTAATTCAATGAAGTATCGTGATGTGATGAGGCCCTGGTGAGATTTATCCAAACAATCTCGAGCCAGTTCTGTGATCTGATGGTGGGTAAAACTGAGAACTCCATCTGCCAGGGGAAGGATGTTCTCCGGAGAATAATTTGTTATAATGTCCTGAAGCTTCTCTTCCATCTGAGCTGTGGCCTATAGACAAGTAGTTATGCAATACATTAAATCAGCTTTACAAGAAACTAACAGCCTAAAAGCTTATTTCTGATTCTAGAACATTTCTGTACTGCCTAAGAATTTACCTAGCTGGAATGCATGAAATGACTGATGCCAAAAAACCAACTAATCTTGTGATGATCACTAAAGAGAACCAGAGGAGCACCCATAACTGTGAAGAGAGAGGGAGGGAGGGAGGGAAGGAGGGAGGAAGAGAGGAAAAACTCGTGCAGTCTCCTTTGTTCTGTTAAAACTGCAGATATTACAGACGAGAATATCCTCCTTGCTTTCATAAAGGTTGTTCCACAAAAATATTATACTGGGCAGTTTGAATGAACAACTGACTAATTAAAAGCACCACAGGCTCACAGGTCCTGCCAAATGTGTCTGCAGGTTCCTAGATGTCTGCAGGTTTTACAGAACCAACTGTCTGGTTCTCACAGAACTGCCGATGTTTAAAAAAAAAACCTCAAAGATATTCTTATTATTAAAAAGTAATCCCATACAACTTCATTCATATCTGAAACTCTGAGACGAGTGAGTTGTTCACACTTCAGATTGTTGCTCAATTGCTCTGAAAATCCTGACAAATCTCTCTTCGTATTTATAGGAAGAAATACAAAGAAATTTCTTCCTTTTTTACACGCACACATTACCTTTGGGAACCTTTCTTTGTAGACATGGTTCATCATAATTATTTCATTGTCACAGCAAGCAGGAGAACGTCCAGGGCTGCAAGTAAAGCAAATTATCCCTTTACACTTGTCTCAGCATGAACTTTAGTACAGTTATTATATTTTTATATGATTTATTTGCAACAGAAAGCACAAGCTTTACTGGAAAGGTCCATTCTCTCATCAGTGTACATTTGGTTCCTTTCTCCTATTTCTGTCGAAATCCTCACAATTATTTAATATACTTAACATCTAACTGCTAACTATGTTATTTTTAGTTTGTACATACATTTCAAGACAGAATCAGTTTTGCAACACCTCTGAACATCATCTTTTTCTCAGAAGGGCAGCAGAGATGTATTTAACTGTTAGTTATGGTTATACCTGCTTAGATACAATCAAAATAGCATGATCTTACCAAGAATTCTAGCAGCTACAAGAGACAAAGTCAGCAATGGGTTTGTTTGCGTTTCATTTGTTTTTTTAAACAGATAGTTTAAAAAAATAAAATCAAAACAATCTATTTTCAGTCTGACTAGCAGATAAAGGCAGTAACTTCCTACAAATAATGTCATACATATGCATGAGTCCATCAAAGCCAGGGCATTGTGCCTGGATCAAAGCACAAGACTTTGACTAAAAGAATCCATAAAAGATACCCATCAATTTGGCTAAACTACAAAACTACTTTTTGCTAACATGAGCCTCACTGTCCACTACAAAGCCCTTTAAAAAAATCTCAATCTAAATTTCCTGTGTTGGTGACACTGGTCCATGCAGTCTGACCTAAAAGATGTGGAGCAGAAAGAAGACTCAACACAGGGGGCAATCCTCTAGGAGTGATTTTATCATAACACATTCATAGGGGTTTCTTGCATTAGCAGAAGAATTAAAATTTTTGGGAAAGAGGAACCTCAATCCATCCCACTTCTACTAGTTTGATACCAGGGCCAGCAAGAGACGCCCACAGCCTACAGGGAGATCACAGGTTAGCAGGAGAGCACTTGAACAGCAGCACAAGGAAATCCAGCCACTTCAAGCATTAAGTCAGCAGTACGTTCATCAAGGCTCAACTTAAGTACCTCTATGCAAACACACAGAGCGTGGGGAATAAAGAAGAGGCATTAGAAATGCACACATGCCTGTACGGCTATGGTCTTACTGACATCACAGAGATGTGGTGAAATGGCTCCTATAACTGGCCTGTTGGAATGGAAGGATATAAGTTCTTTAGGAAGGACAAGCATGGGAGATGAGGAGTGGATGTCACTCTCTAAGTCAGTAACTAGTTGGAGTGCTTGGAGCTCTGCCTATGGACAAATGAGGAGCTGAGCGAGAGCTCATGACAACACAGCAGGGCAGAAGCCATCCAGGAGGTTCCTGGAAGGTGTTGCTGTTAACTTCTCCAAGTGATGTAGAGGTCAATGAGGATAGGTGCTATGGTGGAGCTCATTTTCACCAACAAAGCGGGGCTGGTGGGGAATGTGAAGCTCAAGCGCAGCCTGGGCTGCCGTGACCATGAAATGGTGCAGTTTGCAATCCTTAGGGTAGCAAGGAGGGTACACAGAAAGCTCTTCAGGAGAAGACCAGAGGCTTCGGCCTCTTCAAGGCTTTAGTTGTTACAGTACCATGGAATAAAGACTTGGAGGGAGGAGTAGCCCAAGAGAGCTGGATGATATTCAACGGCCACCTCCTCTGAGGTTAGGAGTGATGCATCCCAATAAAGAGGAAGTCAGGCAGAAATGCCAGGAGGTCTGTCTGAATGAACACAGAACTCCCAGACAAATTCTAACACAAAAAGGAAACCTACAAAGGGTGGAAGCAAGGATTGGTAGCCTGGGAGTAATACAGGGAGAATGCCTGAGCAGCCAGGAATTGGGTTAGGAAAGGGATACCATCCAGAGGGACCTTGATAGGCTTGAGCACTGGGCCCATGTAAACCTCATGAAGTTCAACAAAGCCAAGTGCAAGGTGCTGCACCTGGATTGGGACAATCACAAACATGGATACAGGCTGGGCACAGAATGGACTGAGAGTAGCCATGAAGAGAAGGTCTTAGGGGTGTTGGTGGGCAAGAAGTTACAAATAACCTGGCAATGTGCACTCGCACCCCAGAAAGCCAACTGCATGAAGCAGTGGGGCCAGAATGTCAAGGGAGGTGATTCTCCCCCTTTATTCTGCTCTCCTGAGACCCCACCTGGAGTTTTGTGTCCAGCTCTGAGGTCCTCAGCACAGGAAAAAGACAGACCTGCTGGAGCAAGTCCAGAGCAGGGCCACAGAGATGATCACAGGGATGGAACACCTATCCTATGATGACAGGCTAGGAGAGTTGGGGTTGTTCATCCTGTAGAACAGAAGACTTTGGGGAAACCTTACAGCAGCCTTCTAGTACCTACAAGGTACTCTAGGGGGTACAAGGGGACCTACAAGAAAGCAGGAGAGGATTTTTACAAGGTCATGTAGTGAGAGGACAAAGGGTAATAGCTGCAAACTGAGGGCAGGCTTAGATTAAATATTAGGAAGAAATTCTTTACTGTGAGGGTGGTGAAATACTGTAACCCAGAGAAGTTGTGGATGCCCCATCTCTGGGAGTGTTCAGGGCCAGACTGGATGGGGCTTTGAGAGACCTGGTCTAGTAAAGGTGTCCCTGCACATGGCAGGGGGGTTGGAACAAGATGATCTTTAATGTTGCTTCCAACTTAAATCAGTCTGTGATTCTATAACTGGCTCTGGCTTTCTAAAAGGTCTAAAATTAACACTAAACTTTGTCTCAAGATAATCACAATGGTGAGTCCTTTTACTAATATGGACAATCTGTTACAGATGTTCACAGACAAATCCACTGAGGACAGCATAAATTCAGAAAGGGAATGCTACAATCAGATGATTAATGACTAGGTCATCAAGACAGTGTCTGCAGGTTAGTTGCCCTCACATTAAGACCTGCTTTAACAATATTTACCACTGAAGTAAGTCATGATCAAAACTAAAGTAAGTATTTAAAAGGACTAATCTGAATTCAGCCTCAGTTACAAACTTCTGTATGCAAACACCTCCAACGTATGATGCTCCATAATTTGTGGATTTAGATCCAACTCCTATTTGCAGATACACAAACTCACCTGAGACTTCGGGACCGAGGGCGCATTGCAGTGGTCCTGCACCTGTTATCACTGGCAATGCTCTCAGTGGTACAGAAATGTTTAGACAAAAAATGTAGTTCATCAGGTGTCGGTTGGTATGGTAACTGATGTAGTTTCTCTTGGGATGAGCAGGATGACTACAAGAGTAGAACAGAACACAAGCTTCTATTAGAGTGGAAAAAGAACATTTTGAAGACCACATTTGGTGCTTATAAATAAAGTCATATTATCTAAAAACTATAGTTACTGTTTCTCATGCCTGACTACTAATTTAAAGAAGAAAATAAGTAATTAGCCTCAAACTCACAAACTAAATATAAAGTATTAAAAAAACCCAAAACTCTAGTCCCAGAAGAAAGAGACATTGCACTTCAAAAGTTTAAATTTCCTAAGGCAAAGGTGACATCTGATGTCAGTAACAACCAACAAAAGATAAGAACAGTTAAAATGGAGTCTGCTGAAATTTAGTTATTGGAATAGTGTAAGTATGATAACTGTAGAGTACAACTTACTGTCACAATGCCAATTGTAAATCTTCACAATAAAGGTATGTCATTAACCATATTTAAGGCATTACTAATGCTTTTAAAAATAAAATTAAATATAATACAAATTCTTGCTGAAAAAACTCATATGCTAATCTTTTCTAAAAACCTGTACATTGAAAAATGAGAGAACTTAATATATTTATCAAGACAGGATATATGGCTGACAAAAAGTGAAAGCCATCCACTCAGTAAAAAACTGGAGGATACAGAGAGGTATGAAATTGGAAGTGGTACCACAATAACTACCCTTGCAAGATTTCATGTATACAGCTGCTTTGCATAAGCAGTGCACATCATCATGCTATTATATTTTACTGTCTTTTATGCACTGTGGCTAGCTCCCTGAGCCATGCTAGATGTTTGGAGGGTAGAACTTTGAAATTTCTTCTATGAGCCTGGATCTGATACTCTTGTAAAGAGCACGAACATAGTTCAAGACATTACAAGCAGCTTTGTTAATGTGGACTGACAAACATAGACAAGAGAAATGCTCTATTGTTTCTGGTATCAAAACTAGTTTCAAAGATGACTGATTCTCAAATATTCTTGTATGACTGCACAAAGCTGTCTTGTACCATGCAGACATTCCTTTTATTTTACCTGCAGTAGGGAAGAAGATTAAAAACTTGGACATCTTTCTGGAGCTCTTCAGTCTCCAGCTGATTTTTCAAGAAAATTAACTTCTTCTGTGTATCAATTTTCATGTGCAGATTACTGCTTATCTGATTTCTCATACTGAACACCAAGGCCCCTGCCTAGGTACTCTTTTATTGCAACCAAACACAGCAAGAGTTTCTTTGCTGCATCATTTCTAGTGAGGGAAATCAATAACTTTCATACTGTACAAATACTGCCCTACACTGCTACGGTTAGTAGGTAATATCCAGGCTGGTAAGCACAGAGACTATGAGGTCTTTTTAATCTCCTGGCCACTTGCACGGTAAAGGCTGAATATATCCTAATTCTTAGAAGCTCAAGAAAGTGGTCTTATCACACTAGATCTCATCAAATCATCCCTTAAAAGCAAAAAAAAGAAGAAAATCCACTGGTGGAAAAGGTTAAGCAGGACATGGGAATGTTTCACCGCATCAGAACAAGCTGAATTTAGCAAGATTGTGCTACTTCACTTTGCCGCGGGCTAAAAAGCATGCACATCAAGAATTTACCACAGTTCGGATGACAGGGAGTAACTTGTCAAGTTACAGTAACTCATGCATGGAATTCTGCCTTCACACATTACCATGCATCATTCAGTACACAGCATAGGTAAGTTTTTTCTTATCTCACACTATAGCAGCTTGTTACAGTTAACCTCACAGCATAATTCCTACAGCCACGCTCTGTAAGATCAAAAATACTCTAGCACAGGGAAATTTCCCAATAAAAAACATCACAGATGGCTACTTCTATAAAATCATTCTCTAACTCTTCGGTTTCAAGGGATTCTGGGAAGATCAGTAGGAAAATAACTCATATCACACCTTCTCTCAAAAATGGTATCACAGAGTTTAGATCCAACAGGATTGAAGTGAGAATCTTCCTAATGCTAAACACTCTCAGTTGTATCAGGACCATCAAAGGCATAAAGTGCATTTTCTTGGTGATCTGAATTCTGATCACAGTACAGATCCAAATTCTCACAGCAAAATTCTTTAGAAAATGAGCTGTCCTGGCATTCTAGAATGTCTGCTCCAAAAATCACACAAGACTTGAAATATTTTTAATATGTACAACCACAGTGCATTATGGAAATGCAAACTGTTCTTCCAACAAAGAACTGCATTTTGCAGCCAATACCAGCTAAAGCAACCCCAAAGTCTCTTTTTCTACCTCCTTTTCCTACTTCCTCATCCCAATAAGCTTCCAAGAGTATAATCTCCTGGCAAAGATATGCAACTGTGTATTCTTTCAATTTATCAGTTTTATAGACTTGCTCTTCTAGAAGACCCAATCATCTCAACTGCATCTCATAACTGGCATGATCTGATCCAACTTTGCTGGAATATGACACACTACAACCTTTTTTCAATTGAATAATTTAGCAGAAGATATTTTAATTTCCACTTTGTTGTAAGAACTGGTATATGTGGTACTTGCACCACATCTAAACCCACAATTATCCATTAACTGGGTAATTCCATCAATCTCTTCACTTTCAATATTAAAAAAAGATAAACAGGCTAACAAGAAATAGTGAGCTACACTCACCTAAGCATAACTGTGGTAACTACGGACACTTCAGCCCTGCTTTGACTTTCAGTTGCTTGTAAAGAACGAAGTTCTGCTTTACTGTGATGTGTAAAAACTATTTCTGCTCTCTGGTTGATACATGTCTAGATGAATGTGAATTTTATTTATATACCATTGAAACAGGAGTGTTCTGTATGTACCCTAAGGCTGTTGTATGAAGTGATCTCTCATTGCCTCTAAGAATTAGTAATAATGTGGAGGAGGTTGCACAGTGCTAGCTCTTCCAGATTCTGAAAAAGCATATGAAACCAATTAGATGGGTGCACTTCTAGTTTTGATTTCATGATTCACATATATCATCCAGTCGGTAAAAGAAGAAAGTGAAAAACATCTCTACTAAGAAGTGAAGAAATAGTGATTAGATTTAGAATTCAAAGGTTGTCCCAGTGCTTTTGCAGGGCTCATAAGCATCAGAGGATTCTAGGGCAAAACAAAACAAAAAACTAACAATGAGATACTGTAGATAACACAGTTATGCACAACACATTACAGCCTAAGAACCACTCAAGACCCCCAAAGCCTTCTGACCCATTTCCAGAAAGGTCTGGAAGAATGGACTGCACACGGTAATAATTTACATAGAAAGAAAGAAACCTGTCTTCAGGGTGGGGAAAGCTTATCTATAAAAAGGTACCCCCCTCCCAAGCCCAAGGACACCCCCAGAACCCCAGACATCCCATCAGCTTGACTGATGCTGAAATCAGGACTGGTGATATCTTTCACTTTCTTTTTTCCCATCTTTCTTTTTCACCATACCTCTTTATCCAAAACCCACTGCCATGTGCTTGTACAGTAGGTCGGGACTAATATACAAATTTCCACACCAAGTGTGTAATTTACTAATAAAACTTTGAGTTTTTGTGAACTGTCAGACTTTTCTCATTTCTTTTGACCCAGAGCATCTACAAGTCTTGGGTGCTCCTTTCCCCTTAAGGGTGCGACCTCACAGACACATATGGCATGAATCTCTACTGCTGTTTTCTTCAATAAAATTCATATGTATTTATTGGAAAAACATTATTTTCACAAGTCAGAAAATGTTTGTTCAGTGCTATGGAAGACATCTACTTAATATTTAATTTTATCTATTTAATCTATTTAATACACTATCTTTAGTCAAGAAAAATCGTGGGATAAGTCAACAAAGGTATATTACAGAAATTAAGATATTTAAGTCCATAAATGACAGTGCTATACTTTTTTGTAAAAAATGCAAATACCACGTAAAATTGCTTCACATTCCAGGATGACTACAGTATCTAGTAAACTTAAGTACATGAATTAGAATTACCATTTTAAAATTGAAGATGACAAAGGAAAAGCTATGAATATGGACAGAAAATTAAAACTGTGTTTTGGTTTGTGACACAGCTTTTAATTTCATTTCTAGTACAAGTCTGTTTCTTATAACAACAATGATGTTTCTATGGCTATTATTTTTATCTGATATAACCTCCCTTACAATATATTTTAGGTGAAGAACACAGCACATTTGATCTAGTCCCCGTGACAGGTGTACAAATATGCCCTATGGAAAAGTGGTTGAGGAATTAATGTGAAACCAAGGAATTTACTTGGCAAAACCAAGAACTACCCACAAAGAAAAGCACATGTCAAAAATCAGTGCTGCTGAGGAAAAGTTCTTGAGATACAAGAAATGGCTCAGTTTGGTTTAAGATAGACAGAATTGTCTTCCCAGAAGTCTTTGTGGAGAAAAATATAATAACAGAGACTGAGGGGAGACCTCATTGCAGTCTACAACTTTCTCGTGAGGGGAAGAAGAGGGATGGGCATTGATTTCTTCTCTGTGATGACCAGTGAGGGGATCCCAAGGAGTTGTGTCAGGGGAGGTTTAGGTTGGATATTAGAAAGAGGTTCTTCACCCAGAGGGTGGTTGGGCACTGGAACAGGCTTCCCAGGGAAGCGGTTACAACACCAAGCCTGACAGAGTTCAAGAAGTGTTTGGACAATGTTCTCAGGCACATGGTGTGACTCCTGGGGTGTGGCCAGGAGTTGGACCTGATTATCCTGGTGGGTCCCTTCCAACTCAGAATATTCTGTGATTCTGTGATAACATAAAATGATCACGTTTCATCATTGTACAGAATGTTTAACACAACTGTTTCACAAGAGAAACAGACCAAACAATGGGAAAAGAAAGCCTACTTTATTGTAAAAGAAACAGCCTAAAAAAGGATCCAGTATCACCTGTTCAGTAGTAATACGTATCATTCATAAAACATAAAAAACAAGGCTAAATATATAAAACATTGAAGAGCCACAGTTGGATCTACGCAGTCCAAGCCTTTTACTGCAGAAGATGGTATGTAACTGTCAAAATGTCAACTATTTGCTGTTTCTGAAGAGGCTTCCTCCACAACTCTATCCCCCCAGTGTTTCAGGTGTGACTATGACAACAAACAGCTTAGTTCCAGGTTGTAATATGGAATACAATGTCCAGGTTGTATTCCTCTCCAGAATAGAGATGAACAAGACGTACAGAGTGATACTTCTCCCACGGCCCAGCTCCTAAGTACTGAAGTAGGATATCATGCACTCCTGTGGCATGTATCACAAGTCAAATTGTACATGTATGGCAGTGGGACTGACAGAAAATCACATCGAAACAGCTGCTCTAACAGGCAAAAATTAATAAGTTAGACTTATCCCATTATGTGTACTTCATCCCATCTTAAGACAGCAGTCTAACCCAGGATGGATGAATCATGTTACAGAGTAGTTTTTTTTATCAAGGCAGCCTCACTTAAGACTTGATACCTACCATAGGGTTAAAATAAGGCAGATCGAAAGGGGGCAGTTAAACATTACTCACTGCCAGAAAGTACCTCTAAGCAAAGCATACATTGCCTAAAGTTTTCTCCTATTTCAGTGAAGTAAAGCAGTTTCATATCACATATTAATTCCAAGTCTATTAACCATAACAAAACCTACATTGTCTTCTTCTAAGAGAAGCATACTATATTTGAGAAGCTGAAGCACGTAGGAGAAATCTACCAGCACAGCAAAGTGGATACTTACAGAAACTGTTGAGCTGGGTGTATTTGTACCATAGCCAGAAGAAGGGAGGGAAGCCAAAGACCAGCGGCGACCATCGGTCCTGTTATGAAACGAGGTTAGTCAAATGAACACTGCAGAAACATCTGTGGAAGTATTACTGTGCAAAACTGCATTCCAAAATCATGATGCAAACAGGGTTTTTATAAACAGTATACTTTCACAAGGGACCACAATAAACAAGCATTTACCAAGGATGACTTAGGTTTACAGATTATTTTTTAGTGTGTTTTTCAAATTAAAATTCTATCGAGATGAAAAAAACACAAAGTGAATGAACAGCTTCACAGAGTTGGGGTCTAACTAATACACACAGAAATGGACCACAAGGAGTTTACAACTCTTTAGGTCCATCAGATGAAAATCAATAAGCAAATTAAAAATCTTATGAACAAATGCAAACTATAACGCTTTGAACCACAGATAGCCATCACAGTTTGCTTGAAATACAAGGGTAGGGTGCTCTTAAGTGGCATCAGTACAGGATACCAGCAAACTAGCAGGCTAATGTCAAATAGCTGTAAAGAATGATTAGGTAAAACTAAACTTGTTAAATGTTAATACGTAAATCAGGAAAAAAATTCTGCAGCAAAAAATCATGCTCACTCAGAACAAAAAAATAAAACACATATAAAAATTATAATCAAAACCGATTTATGTTCTTCACTGCCTGAGGTGAGCCACACAACAGACAACACGGAACTTGAACATTCAAAGTAGCAAACCAAATAAACAACTATGGGAGCCACGTTTGGATCTTTGAGAAAGTAACAATTACCTGTCATTTCGATGCCCATGACTGGAGTACAATTGTATCAAATATGTTAAAAAAAGGCAAAATAATACATAAATTTTCAATGTAAGTTTTTACTAACATGAAACATAAGTTTTTATTAACAAACAGTATGACTGGAAAAGAGAATCAAAGATCTGTTTTACAGTTAGTACAAAGATGATTTTCAAGTCTGATTTACACAAAGAGTGTAATTTTGAAGAACTGAAGTCATGTCAAATCAGTAATCTTAAACCTCTTGATGCAGCTTCCCTTCCTTAAAAAACTTTCTAAAAAACCTCCTTGCTTCTTTCCAATCTAAGGTATTATTTCTTACTACCATTTATCCATCCACAGACTACAATCAAAGCTCTGGGACTTTGAATACATGAAGTGTGAGAAAAGAATCTACAGTGTATTATTAGCACTAAAATATGAAGAACATATGTGCTAGAGGGGCTACTGATTGTATCAAATACTGAACTCTGAAAAAAAAAACTTCCTCCACTTCCATAATTTCATTTTTAATTCAATAATTCTTCTCCCTTCTTTCCTTCACCCAGATATATAAGACACTTCCAGATCAGTAAATGATTTCAAAAGTAGTTTTCTCTTCATTTGGCTTAGCTAAAGCTGTTCACAGTTAAAACAAGAATTTAGACAGTATTTTAAAATGGGTGAAACATATCTATTCAGCAGCTGGGAGAGAGAAAGTACTTCCTTACTTAGTAACTCACAGTGAACAAGGTTCCTGCATCACACAGAAAGGCCACAAGAGTGGGAATGGGATATCACAGAAAGTTATCTGGGAGACAAAGGAAAGAGAACAGGAGTCATCCATAAGGGATGATGAGGAAGAAAGGGAGCAAGCCTGCACAGCATTTTCAGCTGGACTCTGATACTTGACTTGTCTCTGCCCTAGAGTACAGTATTACTCATTTTCCCGCAGCTCTAGAAAGCAGAATTTGTCACCTACCCATGAGTTTGTGGATGCCAGACTCGTACGTACCAGCAGAAACAGTGGCTTCCAGAGGCACAGGCTATTTCTGGGCACTCATGACTCGAACAGATATGGGCAGAGAAACGTGACCCTGCTGCTTGTTGCCAAGGTCCTGGGGAAGGCTGCCTTGAGCTCTGCATGGCAGAGGCTGGCAGCATGGCTGAGGACCACCTCCCTGATGCTTTGCTGTGGCAGTGTAGCATGGCCAGCAGCTAATGAGAAGCAGCTACACTGGGAAGATACTTCCCAGGAGGCTTCCAAACCATTTCCTTTTCCTCCCTCTCCCTTTCTCACACCTCCTCATCTTTTTGGTATCCCCACTGACTGGCTGCAGTGGATGGAAAAGGAATATCCACACACCTACACCACTTTGTCCCTGCTCCTTCAACGTGGTGAACACACACAGGTTTGTTCTTCCCTTCCTTTGTATGTTCATTAAATTTATAAAATACAATAAAAAAGGCAGGAAGTCAGAAAACTGAAAACTGCTCTCATTAACCACAGGCCATTTTACAACAAAAATGCATCCTATCACAGGTTACGAAAAACAACAACACCACCACAAATAACAAATTCTTAAGAAAACATTAAAGCTGTTTTAAACTTCAGTGTCATCAAACATTTTTACTATAAACATAGAACAAAATCATTTTCTATAGAAAATTGCTCCAAATATGTTTCTTGAATCCCAACGAAATAGTGAAATATTTTGAAATCAAAGAAACTACTCGTGTTACCATTTCTTCAGTTAAAGAATTTATTTAGAGTTCATTACAGGGCTCTAAAAAGGTTAAAATCCAAATGAAACACTGGTAAACATTTTTTTCCCCATGCTGAATTTTAAGGTTTGCAAAAACATAATGTTTTAAACTTTCTGTTGATAATGGGTGGGAAAGGAAAACTACTTCCTGGCTGCTGTATTTCTAAGCAATGCTCCATCTTTCACATCTGCTTTTTCCATTATAAGCTATTTCTGGATTTAATGAATCTTTCTAAAAATATGCTTACAAACAAATGAGTTCTATGATGAGACAGTATCTCTGACAAAAGAAAAACTATCAAGAGAAAGTAGATTCAAAAAAACTCCCTCAACTTTCTTAAAGTGTTGATTAAAAAAGTAGCATTGCAAGCTATTAAAAAGATTGACACTACTACTGTCACTGATAACTTGGATTCAGATGAAAGAAATACATGAGTTTTCACCCCTTTGGAGCTTTTTTTTTTTTTAAAAAAAAAGTTAAACCATTTCCTTGCACTTACTTTTTAAAATTTGTGTGTGCTACTTTACTGATCTCCCAAAATAAAGTAACTAAAACTTTAGAGGCAAGTGATGTCTCACTGCAAATTCAACAGTTACATGCATGACACTACTTAAGCATTCCAATTTAATTTTTTGTATATATAATCTTGGGTAAACATATAAACTCTGCCTACCCACACAGGCACGGAGTTACTGAACATATTATTTGAGGTAGGCTGACAAAGCATTAAGTGACAGGGAACCACACTGGAAACAAGCAGGGAGCTTCCCATGACATCCTATCAACTTTGGTTATGGTTCATTTAATAATAATTTACTTCACAGATCACTTAAAATTCACTTTAGATCTTTAAAAATTCAACCAATGTTAATTAATCCTCACAACACTCCTATGACAATGCTAATTATCTCAGTGATACAGACAGTGAAACAGCTCAAGGACAGGTGTTCAAGGTATGGTAATGGTATTGCTGCTGCCAGCAAAATCAGATCCTGAACTCAGGACCTCTACTATAGTGCTCTTATAAGCAATGCACTTCTTACACCAGTAAAAACCCCCCTTTATATAGCTTAAAATTTCCCTGTATCTCAGTGTATGAGGAGATAGTGCCTGAACTGGATTCATTACAATTAAGTCTTTTTTTTTCTTTTCATTCAAAAAGGTATGATCACATTGCATCACTCATTCAGTACAATTTTGTTGTCACTGAGGTTTAGGAGATTTTACATAAGTGAGTTAACACTTATTATTCTAAGCAAAAGACCTGACTGATGTATTTACAATCAACTTTTAATATCTGGGTCCAGCATCAGTTCCTCTATGCAAAATGCGTGTTGCGTACTACAAACAACCTCTTACCTTCGTGCAAAAGAAAAGTGGGCTGAGGCACTGGGAGAGAAATTCCTAGGGCTATCTTGAGGACTGTTTCCTGTTGGAAGATGATACACAAAAAAAATATTAGAGGGTTGGGTGGGGAGAATCCACTAAAAAACATTCAGGCATATTAATCCAAGCATTTCCAGCAGGTTAGAAATGAACTTCAGAATTTCTTCTCTCATAGGCTCTCAAAAAGTAAACTCTGAAACAGAATCTCATTTCATTTTTAGTTACTGGATTTTACAACTCATAAAGAACCTTTATTTAGTCTTTTAGTTTGAAAATTCTCAAAACAATTTGAGAATTAAAGTTTAAAAACCCAGCACATTAGCTTGAAACATATTTTTATTGTCAGAAAAAAGGGGGGTTTTTAATCATAAAATGTTTGAAAGATAGAAAAATCACAATCAAAGTGATTTAGCCCTTACACAAAGTCTCTACACAAAAGCCGTTACACAAAGCATTTCCACAGTTGCTTTATTGTGATTTTTTTCTAGTTGTTGTTTGTTTTTTTTCCTAGCTCCAAAACAAACAAGCAGGTGAAACACAGTGAATTGAATTTTTTTCCCTTAGTTATGTTAGACTGAGGTATGGAAAGGCTACCACCCTTTGTAACAAGAAGAAACTGGACATTGTGAACAGGTTGTAATTTAAGGGTCTGTTACTTCTTCACATCTGAGTACCCGACCTCCTGCAGACCAGCATGAGCAGACAGGCAGCAGCTGGTGAGAGGCAATCCTGCCACCTCTACCCCTCAGCCCCTACAATATCTGAAGAAGAAATAAAGATGACCCCTAAAAAAACCCACAAAAACTACAAAATACAAACAAAAACCCCAAACTTCAAATAAACAAACAAACAAATAAACCAGCCAAAACATCAAACAAACATCCAGCAAAAGCCAAAAGGATTCAATTTAAAATAGCACTGGCATACATTTCACAATCAATCTTTCCCTAAACATTTCTTTAAAATGACTCTAATAGCAACACATAAAAAAAAAAAAGTAATGTATTTGTTGCAGCATTTTATTTTTGGACATGAGATTGCAACAATAAGCAATAGAGAAAAATAAGCTCCTATGTACCCAGAGAGAATCAACATGAAATTTTTAAGAAGAAAACTACTACCCATGTGTGAAAAGGCCAGCACAATAGAGTGAATCCCTGAAAAGACTTCCAGTGGCCTTGATTTCTATTCAAATTTTTGAATTAACATTGCATTTATCATAGTGATGCCCACAACAGATGTCATTAACTCTATAGGAGAAAGCATAATTGTCAAGCCATCACTTGTAAACACAGAGAGCAACGCACACCCCCACACTGCCCCCCCGTTTTCTGCCTAGAAGCAGATGCAAGACGGTTTCTGAGCTGTGCTAAATCACATCTTTGCAGCTGCTCTTCCCACAGCCCCAAGACACAAGGATTCCACTCTCACTAGCCAGTACCTTCAAGGTTTTTCTGCCCATTTATCTATCATGGCTGAATGATGTCCTTCCTACATCCTCTCCTTCTCCTCAAGACCCCAGCTTCTTTGTTACCCTTCAGATATTCTGAAGGTCTCAATAATTTCAAGGTGGCAAGAATTTTCGTTCCCTAAAGGGGGTGGGAGCAGAGGGAATCTGAAGCCACAGGGGGACCAACACAATGTATTCTTGAACTGCATGAACACCAAATTACTAAGAGCAACAGTTCATTTAATGTAACAGCTAACTGGATTTTTTTTGCTGCTACCAGAAGCTTATTTACAAAAGATAAGCTACATAAAGAGAATTGTAACACTGTGCAGATATAACATAGCTTTAGCTACTGCACTAGAAAAAAATTACTTGCATTTTGGAGTGTATTGTGGACTTAGACAAGAAGCAAAAAAGACAAAGACGCTACCTTGAACTCTGGCAGAAAAGCACAGAATTAGGCTTAACACAGTGAGACAGAACCAGCTTTTGACAGGAAAAAGTTTTATGAATCAGCATTTGTCAACCAATTCCTTTCCTTTGGTAACTATTTTAAAGTTACATATGGATATGGATATGTATTTATCACACATCAAGGACATGCCTAACTGTCCATCAGTTAGAATATGTGCAAAATCTTCACATAAAAGCAAAAAATATGGTTAAATAAAGCAGTAACTTTGTAGTCATTGCAGTGGATTTGGATTTGTGGAGACACAATGCTGCCAGCTATGTTGCTAGAATCAACAAAGATCACTTCCTTACAGACAAAACCTGAAGAAGTCAAAGTCTTACTCAGGAAGAGCATCAGATCCTGTTATTAGGAAAATGAACGTGCAAGCACTACTTTCAATAGCAAACCAGCTTTTAAAATAACAAAACTGGTGATGCCATATACATAATACCTGGATACTAAATCCTGTGGGTTTATCTAGAAGTCTTAAGAACTCAGACAAGGCTGGAAACAAAGGATTAAATACAAATCCCTCATCATGGCTGGGCTTCACAAACAAGGATTTGGGAAAGGTCTCTACCCACATTTGTCACAAGCGCATTGGTGGCTAAAAAGGCCAATACGAGACAGACATGTCCGATTGCAAAAGGCACAGCAGAAAGACTCCTTAGGTGGTAAATTCTGCAAGACACGATTCTTTCTGCGTTGTCTTTTCTCCTCAAGGGTGATCCTGCGTGCGTTCTCAAAGGCATCAGCAGCGTTATAGATGGTGTGTCTCCAGACCTCCCAGTTGGAGGCCAGAGTAGACCAGTTATGATGATCAATATGGCCAAGGCTGAGATGTTGTTTCAGGGAGTCCTTGTATCTTCTCTTTGGGGCTCCTCTCATGCAGCAGCCGGTGGCAAGTTTACCATAAAGCAGGATCTTAGGGAGGCAGTGGTCCTTCATCCTGGAGACATGTCCTGCCCAGCGCAGCTGTGTTCTCATCAACATGGCCTCAATACTTGTGACTGCTGCCCGTTCTAGAACAGATGTATTGGTCACATAATCTGACCAGTGGATGTTTAGGATTGTGCGGAGACAGCGTTGATGGAAGCGTTCTAGAAGACGCAGGTGGTGGCGGTAGATGACCCATGATTCAGATCCATATAAGACAGTAGACAGCACAATGGCTCTGTAAACACTGATCTTTGTACTTTTCTTCAAGTGTTTATTTTGCCAAACTCTTTTATGGAGTTTTCCAAAAGCACTATATGCCTTTGCTAACCTGTTGTCTATCTCCCCGTCAATCTTACCATCCGAGGAGATGAGGCTACCTAGGTAATTAAACTGTTGGACTGATCTGAGCTCTGATTGGCCAATGGTGATGTGGAAATGATGGAAGACTTCCTGAGGTGCAGGTTGATGGAGAACTTCTGTCTTCTTGAAGCTGACTTCCAGCCCAAAGATCTCAGCAGCCTCTGCAAAGCAGGATGTTAAATGCTGCAGAGCTGCTTCTGTGTAAGCGACAAGGGCGGCGTCATCAGCATAGAGCAGCTCCTGGACAAGATGATTTAAGGTCTTAGTGTGGGCCTTCAGTCACCTTAGGTTGAAAGGCTTCCATCAGTATGATATCGAATGTAGATACCGTCCTGATCATCAAGGTCTGCCGTGGCCCTTTGGAGCATCATGCTTGAAAAAGATTGTGAATAGGGTTGGTGCAAGAACACAGCCTTGTTTCACACCATTAGTTATTAGAAAGGGCTCAGAAAGTGCATTGCCATATCTGACTTGGCCATGTTGATCCTCATGAAGTGAGATGATCATTTTGAAGAACTTAGGGGGACAACCTAAGCGTTCCAAAATCTGCCATAGACCTTTCCTGCTCACAGTATCAAAAGCCTTGGTGAGGTCGACAAAGGTTACATAGAGACCTTTGTTCTGTTCTCGACACTTCTCTTGCAGTTGTCTGAGAACAAATACCATGTCTGTGGTAGTGCTGTTGGCTCTGAAACCACACTGACTTTCAGGTAGAATTCCTTCTGCTATAGCGGGTATTAGTCTGTTCAAGAGTATTCTTGCCAGGATTTTGCCAGCAATGGAGAGCAGAATAATACCACGGTAATTTGAACAGTCTGATTTAGTACCTTTCTTCTTATATAGGGTGATGATGACTGCATCTTGAAGGTCTGATGGTAGTTTGCCTAGATCCCAACAGCATAGTAAGAACTTGTGAAATTTAGCATGGAGTGCAAGGCCCCCATGTTTCCAGACTTCAGGTGGAATTCCATCAATCCCAGCTGCCTTGCCGATTTTCACCTGCTGTATGGCCTTGAGGGTCTCTCCTAAAGTGGGGGCAGAATCCAATTCATACTTTACTGGTTGTTGTGACAGACTGAATGACTGTGTCTTGGACTACACGGTTGGTACTGAAAAGGGTCTGAAAGTGTTCAGACCATCGATTCAGAATGGAGGTTTTATCTGTCAGAAGTGTTTGACCATCAGCACTGAGTAGAGGACTTTGAGCTTGGTATGTAGGCCCATATGCTGTTTTCAGGGCTTCATAGAACCCCCTGTGATCACCCATGTCTGTGCATAATTGTGTTTTTTTCAGCTAGATCGATCCACCACTTGTTCTGGATGTCACGGAGTTTCTGTTGGAGCTTGCTGCATGTGATGCAAAAAGCTGTTTTTCTTATGTGACAGGATGGCAGTGCAAGGTGTGCTTGGTAGGTGGTTCTCTTCTTCCTCAACAGTTCCTGGATCTCTTGACTGTTTTCATCAAACCAGTCCTTATTCTTCTTGAAGGAGAACCCTAAGGTTTCTTCAGCGGACTGCAGGATGCTGTTTTTAATATGGTGCCAGAGTGTTACAGGAGAGGTATCTGTAGAATCTGTGGAATGGTTATCAAGCCTAGTTTGAAGATTAGCCTGGAATTTGTTTCTCACTGTGGCTGATTGGAGATTGTTAACTTGGAGTCTCCTCCTTGGGATACTGCCCCTTTTAGGTTTGAATTTTAGAATGAGGTTAAGTTTACAGCATACCAGTCAATGGTCTGTTTGGCATTCTGCACTAGGTATGGTGGACATCGTGGACATCTCTCCATTGCACCAAGACATAATCGATGAGGTGCCAATGCTTGGATCTGGGATGCATCCAT